CTATATATATATATATATATATATATATATATATATGAAAACTTGTCAGAAATGCGCCTATATGTTTATATTTCTATCATAAAAAATTATATATTTATAAAGAAAAAAAAGATAAATTGTATAATGTACTTTGCCTAGAATTGAACTCCCACTTCAAGAAAAATGTGATAACCAATAAGCAAAACTTGGTTTTTTTTGGTATGCGTACGTTATTTTTTTTCTTATAATACCATTAAGATGTAATATTATATAAATATATATATGAAAAAAAATATGAAATACTCCAAATTTAATATTTTCGGATGAAGAAAACGGTCTCGTTCAAAAATAGAAGTCAGCTGACATGCCATCAACAAATGTTCATCGCCCAACATGAATATAAAAGTATGACATGAATATCGAGGCAATCATTTTAGCAGAAAACATTCAAACTTCAATTCAAAGTCAACCAGAGCTCCGATTTCAACAAACTTATTGACAAACTGACCAATTCAACGAGACAAACCCAATGATATCAAAATTGGTCAAATATAAGTAAATCAAACCATTAAACCCCTTTTGAAAGTTTTTCAGACATATGAAAGATCAAACATATGTCAAATCCAATGAGTTAATAGTTGATTTAAGTGTCTTGATAAGAAGAATTCAATGGGTCTAAAATTGCTCGATTTTGACATCGTCAAGGCTCGTAAATATCCATCAAATGTTCTGATTGAGGGATCTATTATGACATTCTAATCAAAGTGATTTATATTTTTATATTAAGTTCATCTGAAACTCAATAAATAGAGTCCCAACACTCTCATGAGAAATAGACAAAAACTACGGGTTTTAAGAAATGCTCGAAACTTTGAGCTCTTACCGCGATCGACTACTGCCAACCGTTATCGACCGCTGCCGACAACCGCCTACTACTATCAACCCCCCCTCACTCGTTGGTCGTCGCTGATCACAATTAATCTCTACTTATTCCTTGCAACAAGTTTATCCGCACGTCAACGTTGTAATTCCAAAGACTTTGTAATCCTTTCCTGTCTGTGGAACAAATGGTCTAGTGAATTTTTACAATTGGGCTTGACTTTACATGTTTTCGACGTAAAAACTTATGATGTTACTGACTGTTTTCTTTATCTGAGTATGTGTTGAATTCTCGTGTAATGCTGAGATGAAAATCCATTACCCTACCGCTGTAAATATTTTAGCACACATCAAATTTTATTCGCTATTATACAAAAAAACATAGAATGTAATTAAATTTTTGACGGTATTTCAAATATGTATAGCTTGATTTTCTTACTTTATGTCAAACTTATTATATTTTTAAATATTATTTTTTATAATTGACAAAAAGACAAATGAACTAATTTAATTTTCTAGAAATAAATTTGTCTTAAATTTAGATAAATTATTTTATAAATTTTACATACATATCACATAATTTTTATGTAATTACATTTGTAACATTTAAATTTCTATATTTATAACGTTATCATAAATATACGTAAAAAAAATTATATTTAATTTTTGAATAATTAATAATAATGATATTTTTAATATAGTTTTAAAATTTTAAGTGTTATACATATAAACATCAATGTTTATACCTCAGATATACAAATTCGTAATATGTGTGCTACGTATGTAAATGGCCTCTTTCGTTTCCTTTATTTCGCCCGATCGCTCCACCCCATCGGGGTTCGATTAGGGTTTAATTATGTCTGCGATCGAATCGAAATTTAGTTGTTTCAATTCACTCAACCGTCTGCGTCTGCCCTCTTCGCGCTTAACTCCGGCCGGCGATTTTGAAATTTCCCCGTTCGCGCTTTTTAATTGGGGAGACTGCCGCCATTAGTGACCTGTGTGCATGCTGCCCTAATCGAGCCCTAGTCGCGTAGAATCTGCGGGCTTTGAAGCTCTCTGGTGCTGGGAGAAGCCCCAGTTTGTGCGTCCCCAGAAGTTTATCGAACTCGCTGCGATGAATGTCACGATCATAGGTGATCTCCTGCTCCCCTTTTTGACATTTGCATTCAAGAAACGAAGTTCGCTTCTTTTCCCTTTTTGATGTCCTTCTACGATTAAACCTACGATATGTTAGGATGATCTGGTTTGCGGCATTGATTCGCTTTTTGTTTGTTTTTTTCGGTTGCTGTAGATCCGTTACAGGGAGATTTCCCAGAAGTAATAGAAGAGTACTTGCAGCATGGAAACATGAAATGCATCGCTTTTAATCGCCGCGGAACTCTTCTAGCTGGTAATTGTTTCCTCTTCGAAGTATTTATGCCTAAAAACGATGTTTTTTCTTTTGGGCATTTACATACATACTACCCAATTACTATGCATTTACATATCTGACATCTAAACTTTACTTTTTACATTTATACCTCTCAAATCTTTCATATTACATAAAAAAATACCACCATTTTAACTTTAAAAGAATGAAAGACACTTTGTCATGCATAGGTAAGGTGATATGTATGCAAAAATTAAAGTTTAGGTGTTATATATGTAAATGTGTAGGAATTGAGTGGTATGCATGTAAATCTTCCTTTTTTTTCACGGGTTACTTTTATTGGTATCATTTGGTTTTAAGATAATTCAAGGCTTGTTTGTACTCAGTGAGCAGACTAATTTATGACAGTGAGTATGGAGGCACCGAAGAAAAAAATGAGTTTTTTATTTATGCTAATTTCAAAGTCTGTAGTTGTCTTTGGAGTCTTGTATTTTCTGATCTTTTTGTTGTTCGGGTAATTTATTGTATTTGTACTTTTTGTTACGGGTCATATCACGTGCCAAATCATGCCTTAGCTGAATGCGGAATTGAGTTTCAGCAATCCTTACAATTTGACTCATTTCATAGCTGAAATTAGCTTATTTTGATAATCTTTTTTTCACTATCATTAATGTTAACCTTCATGACACCATTTTAACTGGCCACCTCAATATCTTCATCACCATGGCTAACCCTTTTTCTCCTCTCTCTTGCATTAATTCTAAGTCAATATTTTACTTTGTAACCTTCATAAAAGACCTTGAGATATTTCATAGCTTCTTCAAGGCACTTAAAAAATTCAAATTCATCATTTACCTATGATTTGACTGTCCTCCTCCATTCTTTCTTGGTGTGGTATTTTTCTCTTAGTCTCTATATATCTGTTCTGTTTTGAAATGAAAGTTGAAGACGATATTTGAATGAAAATTATCGATTGAGTTTTCTCTACCTTTGTGTTGTCCAGCATCAAGTAAGTGACTGTTTGAGATTGTCATGATTGAATATCTTGAAAAAGCATTCTCAAGGGAGGATGATTTGATCTGTGATTAAAGACTGTTGGGGAAGGAAAATCTTTGCAATCATCGGCAAATATTTTGTTATTTAGGCTTTGTTGGATCTCTTTTCATTTGCTTTCATTGTTGTTGCTTTTTATTTTATATACTTGTTTGGTCTCATTTTAAAACCAATATTATTTTGTAAAACACCCAAAATCTTTTTCTTTAATCTTTCATGTTAATTCATCAGTGATTATTTGTAGCATTAAGCGATCCAATATGATCGACTGGTGAAGAACTATTTTGCATATATTTACACTAATCTTTACTGTGCAACATTAGAAATTAGAGTTGTGACAAAAGAAAAAAATATATACTAATAAATGATTATTTTATTGATTTGTTAGAATTTTTTTTTTAAATAAGATAGTTAAAAATAAATTTATGTGATTTTAATATGTTCATTGAAAGATAAAACTGCACCCAATATATATGGACATATAAAAAGTGTCAGAAGATTAGAAAAAGGAATAGGCTTATGTTAACTTCGATAGAAGTTGTTCAAAATGATTTGTGCAGAATATGTTTTACACCTCAGACAATGCACAACATGAACAATTGGAAAATGAGAACTCTTAGGATTATCCTAAATTATTTTAATAAGGCTAACAATGATGATGTCATATTTATTCTTGTACATTGCTTAAAACCTTTCTCTTTATAGAAAATCACCTAATGAGAGTTTCCATGAACTAGCAGAACACTGTAAGAAAGCAATCATGGATACCGGCAGGAAATCTTAGAAATCAGCTGTGACATAGGCTGAATTGTAGAGTTATGTTAACATAGCAGGAGGGCATCAGCAATAACGGGTTAATATTGAAATTCTGCTAGTCAGCCAGAAAGCACACAAAGCCAATACAATGGTTTTAACTACAAGCATAACAAGCCCAATTGGTAGTTTTGCAAATATAGACCAAGAATTTCACTAATCCAGCATAATAGAATAGTCCTGCATGTCTGACATCATACAAATTCACCAAGAAATGCAAGACAATCGATATAATGCAATAATTTTTTTGTTTTTTATGTGGATTGTTGATTGTGAGCTTGTGCTAATTGGCTTAGGACATGTTTCATGACGTCATATTTCAGTCAATTGGCTTGAACTTGTTTAGGATATTGTCCTTGTGGTGACATTTGTTTTTAATCATCATCAAAATGTTGTTGGATGAAGGAGATATGGATAACTACTTTAACCATGACTGAACAATGAGTGCAATATATGAATAGTTAGCCACATAGATGATTGCTTCGAAATATACGGATTGCATCAATATGCTTAGGGGTCTTTTTCATTTGAGGCCAAGAAAATTATAGGATATAATGAGAAAATTTAATTTACTTATTCATCCATATATATCAAGTATTTATGGCAATTGATGCAATTCTTAACAGCAATTTTTAAAAATTCACATGTTCTATTGTTACCTCACTTGTGAAAAGAACAGTCTTAAATATTCCTTTCACATTTGTTTCTTTAGGTTAGGCTAAATTTTAACAGATCTTCCTGGCGTGTCATAAATATGCTTGTAGGAACATGTATTTATAGGCATATTTTTCACTCCCACTAAAAAGGCAGTTCTATATTGGATTTCTCACAATTTATTTAGCCAATAATGCTGCTGAAGTTTCCTTTAAATACTTAAATTTGCCGTCATACAATACCTAGACGAGATTTAAACAAAGGGGTGTGCATGGGAGAAATGGGTTTCTCCAGAATCTAATTTAAACTATATTCTATTTTTTTTGTTAGTGTGGATTATCAAGTTATATAAGATGTTAAAAAATAATAAAGTTAATATAAGATGTTATATGGATCATTATCAAGTTATATAAGATGTTAGATGTTAAAAAAAAAAAAAAGTTATATAAGATGTTATATGGATCATCTTGCATATTTATTCTTAACTAGGATGATTAAAAGTGTAAAAATTTTTTTACTTTCAGATAAGGTATCTGCGTTTAGTTTTTATTTTTTATTTTATAAACGTTTGAAGTTTGAAGTTTATTTATAGAGGAAAATGTCAGCGATGGAGATTGGGCATTAGCAGTGTTTGCACTCTCTTAGAAGTTTCCATTTTACAGGACTCTCTTTACACTATCTATAACATGGTGTTTAAGTGCTACCCTACTTGTAAAACCCTTTTTTTTTTACATTAAAAATTTGTGTGTTGCTACAAATTCATTAGGTTGTGTGTCATTCCTAAAAAAATCTCAGTGCTTTTGTCTTTGCCTCTACATTTATGAATTTTGTGCCAGCTAATTGTGCTCGAAGTTGATCATTTGCTTCCAATGCTGAATAGTAAAATCCATTGGGTATCTTTTGCAGTTTTGCAATGTCAACTTCCTCAGTCTATATTCAAGATCTAATCATCTTAGCATTTTGTTCTCTTTCCAATGTTCCCATATACATTCATGTGCTGCATTCTTCCATTACTAGCGTTATTGTTCTTGCATGCATTCATGACTCTAGGTTTATGTTTTTTAAGGAAAAGAGCTCCCAAGCTCTTTTTTCTTATATTGCAAAAACAAATGTCGGGTGTAGTTTAAGTTTAAGATTGCTACAATGCTACATCTAACATGACATATGCTCCTGCAAGTATCGGGTAACCTTATGAGTTCCCTGTAGTAGTGGCGTGCTTACGTTGATTTGATCCATGCAAATTTATCTCTGTATTGTTATATATATATATATATATATATATATATATGTGTGTGTGTGTGTGTGTATGTGTGTATATATATATATATATATATATTATATGTAGATGAATTTATATGGTTTTTGTTCTACATATCAAGCCATCGTTAGCCTTCTTTTGGTGTTTGAATTTTTATTTTCATTCATTATTGCTATCTAAGGTGTTGAACCTATTTTTAAAATTTATTTTGAATAAAATATTTCTATTATAGGTTATGTCCACTCCTCGTTTCCACTCCCATGGCACTTATTTTATCTTTTTGTTTAATAGCTGCATTTGTTTTTTAAATATTTGTCTTAGATGTCTAAATTATTCAACTCTAATTTTAACGATTTTATTTTTAATAGGTATCACCTCAATTGTTCATCAAATATAATATCATTCCTTGTTCACATATATTTTTGTTTATTTCTAAGTTCTTACTTTGTTTCATGTTTATCTGTACACTCTCAGTTATGTTATGCTTGATATATTTATCAAAGATTTTTTAACTTTTCAACACTAAGATCCATCTAACATCAAATCAATTTCAGTGTGGCTGAAATCTAAATTCATATCATAACATAGCATATCGATGCTACCTCCTTGGTGAAGATTATTAACAGTGAACACTTTTATTGATTTATTTTATTTTATTTTATTTTTTATTTCAGCGGGTTGTTCAGACGGAAGCTGTGTAATTTGGGATTTTGAGACTCGGGGAATTGCAAAGGAGCTCCGTGATAAGGATTGTGTAGCGCCTATAACAAGCGTTTGCTGGTCAAAATATGGCCATCACCTCCTTGCTTCAGCAACTGATAGATCCTTAACACTTTGGGATGTCAAAAGCGGTGAAAAAATAGCTCGAGTCACTCTCCAACAAACAACACTTCTTGTTCGTCTCCATCCTGGATCCTGCTCTCCTTCAGTTTGTCTTGCTTGCCCTCTCTCTTCTGCTCCAATCCTCGTCGATCTGAATACGAGCAGCTCCAGCGTGCTTCCAGTTTCAGTCTCTGATTCTGGAATCGGCATTCTTCCTCATCCACGCAACAAATTCGCAGATGGTTCTCCACCTTACACTCCCACTGCAGCTACTTTCAACAAAAAAGGTGACCTGATCTATGTGGGAAACTCCAAAGGTGAGATCCTCATAGTGGATTTCAAAACAACACGTGTTAATGCAGTGATCCCTATAGTAGGGGGCTCCATCGTCCGCAATATTGTTTTCAGTAGAAATGGCCAATATTTGCTCACAAACTCGAATGATCGCGTCATTCGAATCTATGAGAACCTTCTTACTCGAAAAAAAGCTGCTGTTGCTCTCGAGGAAATGAGCAGTTCTTGTGAAAACCTTAAAGGGACTGAGAAATTGAAGGCGATAGGATCAAAGTGTCTGATCTTACTTCGGGAGTTTCAAGATGCCGTGACGAAGATCCAGTGGAAAGCACCTTGCTTTAGCGGCGATGGCGACTGGGTTGTCGGCGCTTCAGCCACCAAAGGAGAACACAAGATATACATATGGGATCGATCTGGATATCTAGCTAAGATTCTAGAAGGCCCCAAAGAGGCTTTAATCGATCTTGCTTGGCACCCGGTCCGACCGTTGGTCGTTTCCGTCTCCATCGCCGGCTTGGTATACATTTGGGCGAAAGATTACACTGAGAACTGGAGTGCATTTGCTCCTGACTTCAAAGAACTTGAGGAAAATGAAGAATATGTGGAAAGAGAAGATGAGTTTGATTTGGTGCCTGAAACAGATAAAGTAAAGCAAACCTGACATTGAAGCTATTTCGCTTAGCTGGATTTTCACATTTTCATTAGCGTGTTCTTTTGCAGGTGAAAGAGTGCGAAGTCAATGAAGATGAGGAAGTTGATATTATGAACTTCGAAAATGATTCTGCCTTCAGCGATTCAGACATGTCCAAGGAAGAGCTCTGTTTCCTTGCAGCGATCCCTTCTCCTGATGCTGCAGAACAGCAAGATAAATATGTGGGAAGCTCTACTAAGGTAGAGGAGAGCACACATTCTGGTTCTCCTCTTTCTGTGGAGGCAGAGCAGAATGAACAGGCAATAATACCTCCTTCTTTGAGCCCAGATGAAGGTAATATTTACTGCTATCTAAATGGTGTGAGCTTGATTTTTATATGAGTTGTGCTTATAACCATTATCTGTTTAAAATCTAGGAAGATTTACATACAAGCCACACTTTTCTTTTGTATTTACATATCTTCCACCCAAAGTTTGATATTTATACTTGGAAAGCTTTAGTGTTGTAAACCTATGCATGAAGAGATGCATTTTTGTTTTTAAAAATGAAGAGATGATGATATTTTTGATGTGATATTAAAGATTAGTGATTAGTTGTTAGTTATGTAAATACGTAAGAATTGTATGGTATGTATGTAAATACACCTAAAATCTATACTGTGGAACTTGCCGCAGGCGGGAACTCTGCTGCAGAAGAAACTACAGGGAATAATAGCTCAAAGAGGAGGAGGAAGCCATCGGCAAAAGGGCTTGAATTACAAGCAGATCAGGTCAGAAAGCCTTTAAAGAAAGGAAAGTCATCTAATAAGTACTTCAAGTCTAAAAATAAGAAGAATGATTTGGATACAAATGGATCTGTGCTTGAGGATGATGTCACTGATGAGTATTTATGAACATTTTAATAAACTTATGGTAATTTAATCTGATATTTCTTTTTGCTCACTTTGGATTAAACTTTGTATTCACACATATACCACCCAATTCCTATGTATTTACATATCTAATGCCCAAACTTTACTTTTACATTTAAGCCTCCTAAATCTTTCATATCACATTTAGAATACCACAATTTTAAAATAACGAAACATACATTTTCATGCATAGACAAGGTTTTATTTATATATATATATATATATAGTAGGTGTTAGATATGTGTATACATAGGAGTTATGTGTGTAAATGTTGCTTAAACTTTATGCTAGGAATTATCATTCAGTTGCGATACAGGTTATAACAGACCTTATATCTCTCTCTCTCTCTCTCTCTCTCTATATATATATATATATACCTACATACATAGCTGGAATAGGAAGTTCTTGCCATAATTGATATAGCATGCTAATAAAATTATGAATAGCTGATCCGTTTTCTGCATTATGGTTTTCTCAACTGCGGTAATTCTGCACTGTTTTATGGTATCAGAGCACAAGTTCCTATCCTCTCTTCAATCTTCTTTTCCTTCTTTCTTTATTTAACTACCTCCCATTTCTTCCAATATATGTATCATCTTCTTACACCAATCAAACTCCACCCCAAACGTGTCTGACATTCCTATAACTTCATCCCTTAAAGTATTGATGTCAAACATAAAATATATTGCCACATTCAGCTTACAACCAACAACTATCTCACTTGGAAATTCCCAATTCATAAGCTCTTCAAGGCCAATGGTTTCAAGAGTTTTTTGAATGGATCTGCCTTTTGTCCCTCACCTCAAATTCAAAACTCCATTGGTCAAATAACCCAAAATTCACAGTCAGATCTTATCCACAGCTATATACTCTACAATTTAACCACAATCCTCCCCTACATCCTTAATCTGGAATCCATGGCCGAAATCTGAAAACTCTGATTAACTTGCTTCAATCCACCAATAGATCTCGTATAACTCAACCATGGAATGAGCTCCATCACATTTGTATGAAGGATCAAACATGATACAATATCTTCTCTTGAACAACTCACTTGTAGACAACATTGTTGTCGCCGGTAATTACATTGATCCTAAAGATATTTTCCTTCATACTCTTTACGGTTTACCAACCTTCTATCAATCCTTCAAAACCGACATTCGCTCAAAATCTGAACCTATCAAGCTCGATGATCTCTACTTTTTGTTATTCAGTAAAGAAATTACATCTATGCTGAGAATGCCATGGAATTAAATGCCATTGCCTTTGCTCTCTACACTTCACGGTTTGGCAACTTTACTTCTAATAGAGGCTGCGGACGACAATTCTACATCACCAGAGGTAGTACTAGCAAACAGGGTACATTCCAATCATCTTGAGGAGGTAGAAGCTCCATCAATCCTTCGTCTCACCGTACATGTCAAATCTGTGGCAAATTGAGTCAGAGCTAACTTCAGTATGTATCCCTCTACAAAAGCAGATGCAACTCTTCTAAGCTCCACCAATCCTCCAGCTGATGAACGAGAGGATCTCTACCCAATGAAATCCTACTTCAAGGACCTAGCAAAGACGGTCTCTACCCAATTGTTGTCTTCTTTGCTCACAACATATCTTCATCCTCCACCGCAATATGACACCGACTGTTGGGCCATCCTCATCAAGCTACTATCACAACTATCTCCAGAACAACTAATATAATTATTCCTACATCTTTCTTTTTCTTTAATGAATGTAATTAGTCAAAGAGTCATAGGCAGTCTTTTCCTATCTCGACTTCAAAAACTAAGTGTCTAGTTGATCCTATCCATGCTGTATCGGGTCCAACCCCTACTATTTTAATCCAAGGTTATAAATTTCATTTTCTTATTGTTGACTATTCTTGCTACATTTGGGTGTTCCTTATGGTTGCCAAATTTGAAAGTACAAATAAACTCATATCATTTCACAAAATAATTCAAAATCAATTCCACAAAAACATCAAAATTCTATGCTCCAGTGGAGGGGGCGAGTTCACGTCCCATTACCTGCAAAATCACCATCTTTCATCAATTTAGTTGCCCCTCTATATCCGAACAAAATGGGGTGGCATAGTGTAAGCATCAGATCTATTTGAAACAAAAAGAACTTTACTTCTTACAGCTCATCTACCACCCAAATTTTAGATAAGTGCCCTCATGATTGCTACTTATATCATAAACCAAATGCCATCCAAGACTACTCATCTAAAATCTCCCTACGAAATATTACATAAATCCCCACCCACATACTCTCATCTCCGGATATCTTTGGCTGCCTATGTTTTCCCTGGCAAAAACCACAAGCCTTACACACTCTCTTCCACAGCTCCACCATGTATCTTCATTGGGTATTCTCTATTCCACAAAGGCTACTATTGCTATAATCCTCAAACCCGCCAAATCATCATCTCCTTGCATGTGGTCTTTAACAAACAATGCTTCCCATTATCTACCACCAACACATCCTCTACAACATCATGTACATCTACCACCAATATTTTGCTTACACTTCTAATTACAATTTCTGTCCTGCAACTTCCACCTATCCTACACATCCCTTCAACCTGTACCACTTGCAACAACCATAAATTCATCTTTTCCACCACTTTCTGAACAATACAACCAGCCCCTCCTCCAACAAATTTCCCCAAACCACATCTTTCATGCATCCCATGATAACCACGACTAAAATAGGTTCTCTCAAGCCCTAACATCCTCTAAACCTTCATAAATTCATCTCCCGCAATGCAGATCTTACTTACTATGCCCAAGCAGTCAAACAGCTCGATTGAAGACAAGCTATATCCTTGGAATTTCAAGCACTTCGACAAGGAGACACCTGAACTTTGTTTGATCCTCCTCCTCGTCAAAACAAATTTGGTTGCAAGTGGACCTTCCGAACCAAATATCACTTCAATGGAACAATTCCAAAGCGCAGGGCTCGTTTGGTTGCTCAAGGCTTCAAACAACGGGAGGGTCTACAATATACTTCTATGTTCAGCCCCATAGCAAAATTACCCACAATTTGTTTTCTCCTCATCATAGTCCTTCAAAATCAGTGGAAAATACATCAATTCGATGTCACTAATGCTTTTCTCCATACCTCATTGGAGGAAACCATCTATGTCTTAACTTTAGAGATTCCGAGATCATCAATATCCCAATCGAGTATGCTTGCTTAAATGGCACTCTACTGTCTCAAACAAGCACCGCAATAGTGATATCACATGGTTATAAATCATCTATGAGCAAAATAGTTCAGCATCAGCACCGCAGATCCCTCTTTTCTCATCTATAAGCATCACCATATCACAATCTACTTCCTTGTGTATGTAGATGACATGCTCATAACTGTTAATGATCAATCTGCCATGTATAATCTCGTTCTTGATCTCAAATCTGCGTTTAAACTCAAAGAATTGGGCTCTGTCAATACATTTATTGGCATCAATATACAAACCACATCTTATGGTTATCACCTTACCCAAACTCCCTACATTACATCGCTTCTCCAACAAAACCAGTTAGCACTCCTCTTCCTCTTGAACTAAAACCCCCGATCCTCACTCTCTTTAAGAGTATCTTAATCCAAAAAAATACTGTCAACTAGCTGGCTCACTTCGATACTTGACTTTTACTAGGCCTGACATCGCCTTCTCCAGTACCTACATTGAGCATTACATTTCAGACTCTCACTTACCAAGGGTGATCTACAACTCCGCAATTACTCCGAATCAGATTGGGCTGGCGACTTAGTTGATCGATGCTCTACATATGGTTTTCGCACCTTTCGTGGCGGCAATCTCATTGCTTTGACCATTCAACGCCAAAAGGCAATAGCACCTCCTCTACTAATACTGAATATTGCACATTGGTTGCTGCCACTTCTGACTTCCTATGACTTCACATATTACTTAAGGAATTCAATGTTTCAATCAACACACCCACCCCTATCTATTGTGATAACACTTCTACAATTGCCATCACACTCAATCCAATATTCCACCCTTGCACCACACATGAGAAAATCGATCACCAATTCATCCGTAATCATATTTGCTCAGACAATATACTTACAATTAGCCCATGAGCCCATCTATTTGTAACTTTGAGGCGAAGTAATGGACCTACAATAACCACATTCAACTAGGGTGCACATTCCACTTCAGTATGCAACTAATTCTCACTGCAGGACCACTTGGATGATTCTCTGTTGTTTTCTGGTCTCTCCACTTCCCCTCTTTACCTCTACACATCCATACAAGGAATGGCCGTAGGCTATTATACGAGCCCCAACCATCCCTCATTCGCCTAAGAATTCGAGTACCACACTCTACACTCGGGGGGAATTGAATCCCATTCCAGAGGGGACTTTCACCTGACATGAAGATGCCCGACCAACTTATCTGAGTACGCGGCGCACACGTTAGGGTTTCGCCATGGCGATCCCTGGTTTCTCCTCGTCGATCTAACTCTCTTGAGGTTCGCCGCTGTCGACGTGCGTCGTCAGCTTCGTTTCTGCTCGTGCGTCTCTGCGTCCGTCGGGCTGCGTCGTGTCTCTGCTCTTGCGTCGTCCTATGACTCAAGCTGATCGCAGGGGCTTCACCGCTTCTACTCGTTTCGGGTTCTGCTCCTTCCTGTTTACTCTGAGATCGCAGGGGCTTCCGCTCCTACTCCCTGTTTCGGGTTTCCGCTCTCTGCTCTGCTAAACCGCAACTCCATGGCTTCCGACAGATCGTATGCTGCTGCACTTGGGGGTGTGCACACTTCAAATACACCTAAATCATGCTCTTTCGCTCTTTCATTTGAGTGAGTAGAGGACATCAAGGAACCTGGTAGGAAGATGAGAAACCTGTCATCTTTTTTACAGAAGTTGAAGGTATTCAACTTGCTTCCTTCTGTCGAATGAATTTGGTCGGGAAATTTTTGTATGACCATCCCAAAATGGAGCCGATTCATAAGGAATTTGAGCTTATGTAGCTTGTTGGGGAATAAAAAATTGGACTGTTAGATGAAAGAGACATTCTTATACAACTAAATAATGAAGAAGATTACATGTGCTTATTTGCTTGAAGGACAATCTGGATTGATAACAGAGCAATGAAGATTCTGAAATGGTTTGTGGATTTTGACCCACAGACATAAACACCAATCATTCCGGTTTGAATTTGCCTTCTTGGTCTGAAATTTCATTATTTTACTCAAAAAGTGTTGTACTCTATTGCTTCAGCTTATTGTAAACCACTCAAAACAGACATTCCTATTTTTAATCTTTTCCGTCCATCTGAAGCCAAAATAATTGTCGAAAGAGACATCACTTCACCTGCCTCTGAGAAAATTTGGTTGGGCACACAACATCACAGATATTGACAAAAGGTAGTGATTGAGTCTTTTTCTTCGTATTGTTCAAACTACGTATGCTCGGTCACTCTAGTTCTCAATGTAACAGTCTACAACCTCAATTCAGACCAAAAAAACATAGTGCTCCACCAGAGGCAGCAACTTCATCTCCGCCTAATCAACTCCAAGTTATTGGCACTATTGATCATCAAAAGAATACCTCGAATGATGTCACTATCCTCGCAAGTAATATGACAATCATTCAGTCCCCAGTTGTAGCTCCCCCGTCTTTGGAACATCCTATCGTGAGGGAGAGGATGAGTCTTCAGACCCCACCAGCCTTAGATATCACCGATAATATAGGTGACAATACTTATACTGTTTCACTACCGTCTCATCAGGTCGAGCAAGCAGTTAATGTTATTCAGGCTCATGGAGATCGTGATGTGCAACAACCTACACATGTCCGACCAACGTTGGAATCTAACGATCATATGAGTCAATCATTATATAAGGAATGACAAGTCTACACATCCAGGAGGAAGAAAAAGAATGGAGACCTACTTGAGCTTAGAAATCTGATGGATGATACTTTAGTTACTATGGGCAATGGTACTCACTTTTCCAATTTGTCAGCCGACTCGCTTCCAAGAACTAGAGACAGATGAAGGACTAAAGTGGGACGACCCTAACACTTTATCGTTTTTTGTGGTTTTTTGGTTTTTTACTTTTATGTATTTTTGCTTTATTTGGGTTTTGTGTGCGTTGTATTGTGTGAGTTAGACTTTCTTTTAGGCCTTCTCATACAACATTTCTGTATTTTTTCAGTATTAATATATTTGACTTTGGGCTTTTTTCAATGTATATATATATATATATATGCCATCTTGTGTAAATGATATAGCAAGTTAATAAAATTATAGATGGCTGATCCGTTTTCTGCATCCTGGGTTTCCTCTGCTGTTCTAGTTTAGAGCAGTTTTCGGCTGAATGATGGACGCACAAAATCACTGAAGCTAAACATGACGGTTTGGTTTCTGAGATAAATTACAGAGGCAGTAAACTAACTTTGATTAGTTATTTTTGTTTTTGATCTGAAAAAAAAAATGGAGTTGGCTTAAGAATATTGAAAGTATATCTTAAACGTTAGTTTCTATCATTAGATTTTTGACTTCGTTCAAAATTTTGAAATTTGAAGTCTTCTATTTATATCATAAATCATAATCATAAAATGTGAAATGCACTATAATTAGATTTATATCCACAAATTAATCATGCCTCAATAATTTTTTTGTTTTTATATTTATATCACTTAAAATTTTGAAATTTTACTTTTTTTAAAGTTAATAATGGTGATATTTTGTATGTGATGTGAAATACTTGGATTTTATGAATATAAAAATTAAAGTTTAGGTGTTAGAAGATGGTACAAATTTTTAACGTGGATGCACAGAAGGGCACTTACACACCGACCACACAATTCTTATATATTTACATATCTAACACCTAAACTTTCATATTTAGATGCGTACCGCTCAAATTCTTAACATCACATCAAAAATATCATTATTATTAACCTTTTGAAAGTGAAATATACCTTTTTAATGCATAGATCAATGTTAAACTTCAGGTGTAAGATATGCAATTACATAAGAATTCAGTGCCATACAAAGTAAGTTTTCGCTACACAAAATCCTTCAATGCCACCAATCACTCAGCAGATACAAACACCAGAATTGGCAAAATAATGCCAAATTTTATTGAATAAAATGCCAGCAAGGTTCATGCATTGCCTTGTCCTAACTTGATATATCACCATACAAGTTCATTCAAAAAAATGGGTTATCAGCCACATTGGTCCCGAATTTCATAACCTAGAAAACACTAAAATCAAAATTTCATCATTTGAGAGTTCCTATGACAAGTATAAATGGATTTATAGGACATAAAATTTTTTATTTTGGTTCTTTGGACCACGAAGGAGGATAAATTTTATATTCTTGAACTTGCTCTTCTTCCTTGTCGTCTTCAGCTTCTAAAATATCCTTGGAAAATGCATCAGGATTTGCTCTGATGCAATTCTGCAAGGCGACAAAGGGGCTCACACAGTCTGATCCCTGCAAACATTAAAAATGTAAGTACAAGCTTATAGGCATGAATAAGGCTTAATCTGTACACGACACCAGTTTCATATCAACATGCTTGTATTAGAAGAAGTGAATAGGGTCAGGTAGATATATAAATAATAGGGATAAATACATACAGACCACCTGAAACATTTGAAACATTGATATTTACAAATTAACTGCCCATGTGATTTTTTTTGAACTACTGAATTGATGTATTTACGCATGTCACGATCAAAGTGTTTAGAAGTTGATAAAAATGAAAAATAACGGCTGGGGCTTCACGATGAATTTTAATATTTGAGTGAAAATTAGAGAAATGGATGAAAGAGGTGGGTTGATTTGTAAATAGCAAGTTTTCAGGTGGTATGTAGCCTATTACACAGATTTTGAGCAGGATGTAAACATATCAAGATAGTTCTTTTTTTTTTCAAAACAAAACATTTGACAAGTTTACTAGCAGCAAAAGTTGCAGTTGAGTCTCACCTAAAAATGCACATCTAAATGTTCCCTGGAGTGATAAATGAAGGTGATATCATTTGCTTTTAACGCAAAAATTATTTAAAAAAAATATGTGAGATGAAATAGCTTCTCGGAATGTTTGCAAACAACTATTTAATAAAGAAAAAAAAGATGAAGCACAGATCATATTATATATAGTCCACTTGGGCTAAGTATTTAGGTGCTTTATTTCCAACCACAAGGTTTTTAATTCAAGGCCTAACAGATACTAGTACGTGAGTGAGTTTTAAAAAAAATTCAGATCATTTTACCTTTTCTTCAGCAGTGCTCTTAATAAAACAAACAAAAGCCTCGGAGAAATGAGATCCGCAGGGACCTTTTCTCAAGTCAGCAACACAAGGACATTCCAGTGCTCTTTGTGCCTTCTGATCCAATGTCTGCAACATAACATGCAAAATTAACATATTATCCGAAAGTGCGTCAGTTAGTTATTTAGGCATGTTTAGGACAGCTTTTAGCTGATTTTATGGGTGAGAGAGCAGCCAATAAAAATGCTGCGCTCGTTTGGATCATAGATTTTCAATGTTTTCTTCACAATTTTTCCTTTTAAATTTCTGAGAAAAACATGATAGAAGTCATCGTTAAGCAAATAGCTTTTGCCAATATTAAGGGGCTACTTTTGATTTTGATTTTTTGTTTTTATTTTATTTTGTAAACACTGCCATTGCCGAGTCCCAATCCTCGGATGTTAAAAAGGGACGGCTGTGTTAGATAGTCGATAACCAACGTAAAATTTGTCGAAAAATCATGACATGAATCCTTTTGATCTGTAAATACTAGGGCATATCCTAGAAGCGACGCGCTGTATGGCCTGAATATACTGAATATTATGTAAGGGCCGCTACACTGGTGCCCTATACTAGGGCATATCCTAGAAGCGACGCGCTGTATGACCTGAATATACTGAATATTATGTAAGGACCGCTACACTGGTGCCCTGGTGTAATGTCAAATAAGCAAGAGTTTTCACATTACGGACGGAAACATGTAAAGAAGTTAGTACATGAAATAAAATTAGGATAAGATGTTCGAATATAAATACTCTCACATGTAAATTAATGAAATTAGTTGATATTATGATTCATAAAAACAAAAATATCTTATGTATTCAAGAAATTAAATGAGTTTGAGAAAAGACTAAGAAGATTGATAACTTAGGTTTTAAACTTTGATATTCAGGTAAGAATCACACTAAATGGTGTAAGCTAGGATGGTCAACCAGGAACTCCTAAGGCTAGATTCTAGGTTCTAAGAGTAGAAGACTAAGACCTCACTAAAAATGAGGTCAACAGCTCCTCAAGCACGTTTAGACATGTTCTAAAAAATTTTTTTATATAAAAATATTATTAATATTATAAGCGTATGCTCCTCAAGCACGTTTAGACATGTTCTAAAAATTTTTTTTATAATGACCTAGAAGAATTAATACAGATGATATCTCTTGGAGAAAGAATTTTTATTGGAGGAATTTTTATTGGAGGAGATTTAAATAGACATGTTGATAGTAGTATAAGATTTTAAAAATATTCATGACGGCAACGATTTTAGAGTGATAAATGAAGAAGGTAGAGCCATATTATATTTTGCTTTAGCTTATAATTTTGTTATTGCTAATATTTTATTCAAGAAAAGACATGAACAAATTATTACTTATAAGAATAGATATAATAAAACCCAAATTAATTATTTTCTTCGGAGAAAAAGATATCGCCGAGAATATAAAACTTGTAATGTCATTCTAAGTGAGAATTTAAATAATCAATATTGATTATTAATTTTGGATTTTAAGATGAAGAGTTGTAAAATAAAAAATATTAGGAATTATTGTCATAGAATTGGAAGGGAGCACTTAAAAGACATAAATAAAATTATTTTTATGAGTAAACTTCAAGATTTCAGGATTTGAAATGCTCATGAAGTAAATTTTATGTGGGATAAAGTAACAAACACTATTAAACAAGTGATAAAAGATATACTTGGAGAATAAAAAAGAAAAGCTTCTATAAATTAAAATAGTTGATGATAGAATAATGATGTGCAAAAAAAGATAAAATATAAGAAGTATGTTATAAAAATTGGTTTAAATATAAAAATTTAGAGGACTACAAAAAATATAAAATGACCATTAGGAAGTCTATGAAAATAATTTGTGATGCTAAAACTTCTATTTTTAGTGATCTAGATAATAGATTAGATACTAAATAATGAAAAATATATGTATAAATTAGCCAAATAAAGAGAAAAGAAAAGTAAATATTTAACTCAAGCAAAGTATATTAAAGATCAAAATCAAAAAGTACATTTCTTAGAAAAATATATTCAACATAAATGGGTGTATTATTTTGATAAACTTTTCAATGAAGTTCCTGAAAATACGATCGACCTTAGTAATCTTAATATTGTTAATAATTATAAAATGTTTCATTTTTATCGTTGCATAAGTAAAAAAGAAATTGATGAGATTTTAAAGAAAGCTAAGGGAGTTTGTAGGACCTGATGATATCCCAATTGAAGTGTGAAAATATTTAGGAGATTTAAGAGTTTCTTAGCTTATTACACTTTTTAATATTATTTTAAAAATTAAAAAGATGCCTAAGGAGTGGAGGAAGAGTATTTTGGTCACCTTTAAAAAATAAAGGAGATTTACAAGAGTGTGCAAATTATAGAGGAATTAAGTTAATGTACCATACTTTAAAATTATGGGAGAGAGTAATTGAACATAGTTTGACGTATTACAAAGATTTCTCAAAATCACTTTGGATTTATGCTGGGCAGATCTACTATGGAAGCTATACATTTATTGAGAGATTTGATGGAAAAGTACAGAGAGAATAAGGAGGATCTACATATGATTTTTATTGATTTAAAAAAAGCTTACGAAAAGGTTCCAAGAGATACCCTTTGGAGAGTTTTAAACAAGAAAGTTATTGATATGACTTATATTCAAGTCATTAAAGATATGTATACTAGAGTTGTTACTTAATACTAGAGTTGTTACTTGTGTTCAAACAGAAGGAGGATTGATCAAATATTTTTCTATTTCAATTGGATTACGTCAGGGATCGGCTTTAAGCCCATATCTTTTTGCTTTAGTTATGGATGCTCTTACTGGACATTTACAGGAGGATGTACGTTGGTGTATGTTTTTCGCTAATGATATCCTTTTTGTGGATAAGACTAGAGAAAAAGACTCCGGAAAAACTTGAATTATGGAGGTCCACATTGAAATCTAAAGGCCTTTGTTTAATAGAACTAAAATTGAATAAATGGAATGTAATTTTAATAGTAGTAGCTCTTGTGACAAAGTTGTAACTATGGGTGATCATATTATTAAAAGGTGTGAATGCTTTAGATATCTCGGGTCTATTGTTTAAAGTGATGGTGATATAAATCGAGATGTTATTAGTAGAATTCAAGTTGGTTGGTTGAAGTGGAGGAATGCTTCGGGCCTATCGTGTGATAGAAAACTACCGCTTAGACTGAAAGAAAAAATTTATAAGATAGTTGTGAGACTTGCAATGCTCTATGGCGCAGAATGCGGCCTTTAAAAGAGAAGCATACAATTAAGTTAAGTGTTGTCGAGATGAGAATGCTCAAGTGGATGACTGACTTTATGCTTGAGACAAAATGTGAAATGAATATATCCGTGATAGCGTTGGTGTAGCTCCTGTGGCGGACAAAATTAGAGAGAGTCGTCTTTTAGATGGTTTTGTCACATTAAACGTCGACCATCTGATGATCCAGTTAGGAGAGTAGATTTTTTTATTCGACTTATGTTAAGAAAGCAGGGGTAGACCTAGAAAGACTTGGGCTTATTGTATAAAAATGATCTTAATTTATTAGAATTAAATGAAAACGTGGCATTCAATAGGATGCAATGGAGAAAAAGGATTCATGTAGCCAACCACACTTAGTGGGATAAAGCTTTGTTGTTGTTATTTTATTTTACTTATATTTTTACAAATAAAAGCATACAAAATTCAATGAACAAACATGTTTTTAACATAAAAAAAAAAGATTTAAAACAAGCCCCATGCTTTTCAACTATTAGAGCATGTATTTGGAAAAGAGCATACCTCATTTTCATCACCACCTTCAGCCGTTGCTTCTGTTGGAGAAAACAGTATAAATAAAAAGTGAAAAGAAATCATCGACATTAAAACAAAGTTTGACAGTAATAAAAAGTAAAAAAAAAAAAAATAGAAGAAGATTAACACAATCAAACCATATGTCACTTAAGTTTACAAATCTGCTTAAACTTGTGTATTTTTTCAGCTAATTTTTTCAGCATCTTCTTAATGATTGATTTGTCAAGTATTCTGTATCATCGACAATGACTACAATGACTTTCTTTGATGTGCCTTACAGAAGGAAAATATAGTATAATTTTGAAATCCTAAAAAAAGGGTATGTATTCTGTTAATTTGGATGGATTGATTAACAGAATTGTTAAACTAATTACTTAATGAATTTATTTTAACCACATTTTAAATTAGTTTTTCAGTTTAATCAATTTTTTATTTCAAACTGAATCAATAACTATAGTCCAAACAACCTTTAATCTGGAACTAAAACTGAAACATGCTTTCATAAACCGAACCAAATCAAACAATATCTTCAGTTTGGTTTTTCTATTTAAACTAACTAATGCACATCCCTATCATTTAAAGGCTGGTTTATTTATTCCCAAGTCGGGTAATTTAATATACAGTACCGCTTCACCCTTAACTTCATTCATACTTCCTAGAACTATTTTCATTTTCTTACTTCCTAGTGTCATCTCATTGGGAGCCATTTCATCAGTAAGGTTCAAGATCTAGGGCAATACCTGCTGTTCGCCGGCTCCCTCTTATTGAAGAATGTGAGATTCTATACTTGGTTGGCTTGAATGAGTATGGAACAAAAGAAAAAGAAACTTAATTGCAATGGAGAACCATTACAATTTTATTGATATAGTTGTGGAAATATCTTCATAAAGAAAGCTCAATTAGAGACTCAGAGAAACATGAGCATTAACGTGCTGTGTATGCCAATTTCTAGATGAAATCAACTACATCTTTCTGCCTTGTTTAAAGGCTTCTAATTTTCCACTTTCAACAAATTGAATTCTCTTTGTTTCTTTGTTTTTTTTATTAAACCTTGTTCAGTTTCTACAATACCCATTTAATTTCTGTGTTCTCTCTGTGTTTTTATTTAATCGCTATGTTTCATATATATTATGAAAATAGAAAGCACGTTCTTCCCACGTATTTTATCTAACACCTCTTTGATCTAGAATTTTTTTTTTTTTTTTTTTACAAATTATCTCGATCTCTTGCTGTGTATTCTCGGCAATCTTTTACTCATTTTCTTGATGATTGATTTATCATGATTATAGTTATCATCAATGACTTTAATGACTTCCTTTGATATGTCTTGCAGCATAATTTATTTCTTGCACTGTTAAATTCATAAACATAATACATTGTTTAGGTTGATTGATTTCAGGAAAACAAAATTTATCAAGCAAATCAGCTGAGTTCTTAAAGGATTCAAATATCAAAGCATCAATTGATCGTCAAAATTATTCTTATTTTCTGTTTATTTTGGGATTCTTGTACCTGTCAATTATCACAAATCGGAAGTTTACTTTAGGTCTTTTAAAAGTGGCTCTCTTGCTACTGCTGAAACTTATTGTAACCAGCCGCATCCTCTCACATTTCTTCCTTTAAAAAGTTACCAAGCAATTAAGCAAGAAACATAATTTCTCCAAGAAAGAAAAAATAAATCAAAGGAGGATGCCATCTCATACGAAAAGCATTTCACAAAACATAGATCTCAATACATCTCCAAAAGCACATAGAAGTAAAATACAACAACAACAGCAAAACCTTTATCCCACAAAGTGGGGTTGGCTATGCAAATTATTTTTCTCCATTGTATCTTATCGAGTGTCATATTTTCATTCAATTCTAATATATTAAGATCATGTTTTAGACAACATGCTCAAGTATTTTTCAGTTCACCTCTAACTTTCTTACCAAAAGTCAAATCTAAAACATCTATTCTCCAAACAAATCATCAGATAATCAACGTTTAATGTGACCAAACACTCTCTAAACTTGTCTGCTACTGGAGTTGTACTAACTATTTCACGGATATATTTGTTTCGCATTTTATATTTAATTGTAAAACCACTCATCTACCTAAGCATTCTCAGCTCAACAACACTTTAACTCAGTATCATGCTTCTCTTTTATGGGCCAACATTTTGTACCATAAAGCATGCAACTCTCACCACCATTTTATAAAATTTTTCTTGAAGTCTAAGCAGTGCTTTTCTATCGCACAACAAGTCCGATGCAGCCCTCCATTTCTCAACCATTCCATTTCAACCATCTAACTTGAATTCTACTAATAACATCCTCATCTATATCACCATCACTTTGAACAATAGACCCGAGATATCTAAAACAGTCACTCATTTAATAATTTGACCACCCATTGTTAAAACAACATCACTAAAACGAAAGTCTTTAGATTCTAAAGCTGACCTCCATAATTTAAGTTTTTATGAACTCTTTGTCTGGCCTTATCCACCAGAAGGGTATCATAAGAAGAAATCATACACCAAGGAACATCCTCCTGTAAAATGTCTAGTAAGAACATCCATAACTAAAGCAAAAAAGATATGAGCTTAAAGATGATCCTAGATATAATCCAACTAAAATAAGAAAAATACTTGGGTCAATCATCCTTTTGTTCGAATACAAGTAATAACTCTAGTATACTTATATTTAATGACTTGAATATAAATCATATCAACACTTTCCTTTTCTAAATGAACAAAAATTATATGTAGATCCTTCTTGCACTCTATGTACTAAATAGAGAAAACAAAAATTTCTTCAGAGCCAAGATTTATCTGAAGCAATTTTGACTGAAATTCAAAAACAAAAACACAATAATATCCATGCTAAAGATCACAATTCACCTACGCAGTTTCCACTGTGTTAATGGGGAAACTATGAAGCTCATGCTGATTAAGATGCACATTGATACAAGCAGTGAACAAAACAATAGATGTGCTTTCTAATGAAAAAAGACTAAAGAAATTGGATGGAAATAGTGATGGTTTTACGAGGGATTAACTAACTACATGCCAAATTTACAGCTCAACCAGTAGTTCGGCCAACCAAGAAGGTCAACTTGAGTAGCCTAACTATATAACACCCCTTTTGAATACCATCTGAAACATTGTCAATGGAGGGTTGAATTTTTTCTTAATTGGGTGAGTACCTGCAGCCTACGCTACATGGTGATGCCATCTTTAAACACTATTTACTTCAACATTTCAAATGATCTCAAAATAGGAGTACTAAAAATCATGCCAATTTTATTAACTCAGCACATCAAAGTCTAAGTTTACAACATTAATTCAGATACTTTAGGCCAATAAATAGTAAAGTTTAAAGAATCTGAAGACATGCTACTGTTCAAAATAAATTCTACTAAAAAAATGTTCAAGGCAAGGACCAATTTATAAAAGGTACAATATTGAAGATTTATTTTTCAATATCAGAGATAGTCCTTATAATATGGATAATGACGCACATTGTTAAAAATGAAATAGTGCAACTTACATGGTTAAACTAAATAATGAGATTTGGATACTCTTTAAAATGATGCGTAGGTGGGAGAAAATCAATGAAATATAGGGAACCAGTTGATTGATCGTGAGTATTTATCTTTGTAGCTTATTTCATTCTTTGATTCCTTGTCAACAAAGCAGAATTTTTAAGTTCAACTCCTATTCCAGCCAAAACACGAGAATCAACCACTTTTGTCTTCCTATGTATATTGTTCTGGCATAATTCTTCTTTCAAAGAAATCAACAGATCCACTCTCCAGAGGCTGTCAAACAAGTGTTAAACATCATTAATTATTTTCAATATCATTCAATCTCTTTTACTGAAAGTTCTCATGTACTCAAGCATAGAATAATTGGAAGTATGCCATTCTATGTCCTCGGAATAATATATGTGAATAATCATTGGGTAGGTTGAAAACTCATTACTTTGCCATTAAGATGAACATGGAAACCATTTTTTTAGTGAAGTCATATAATTTCTTCTCTTTATGCAAACAAATTATACATTCCTTTGTAAATGGTGAGAAAGGGGATGGAGAAAAACCAAAAAAACCTCGGTTCTGAAATTACTTCAAATGTTTAAGCTTATCAAAACTCAGAAAGGTATGCCGGGATGACCGACAAAGTATTCCGACCAATATTGGAAAACATAACTAGCAATGTTTTGGAATTTCCTCATAGGTTTTGAAAACATAGAACATAAATATTAGGTTTTGAAAACAAGGATGTTGCAAAGTATGGAGAAAAAGTCAACATTGAACCTTACGCAATCATCCAGAAGTTTATAAATCACAGAAATACCTAATAGGCTTTGCCTGGATTGTCTTTCGATAGGGCTGTCACGGGGCTAGTTTAGTTCTCGACAATCGGATTGTAATGTTGGCTACTAAGTATGTCGGGATGACTGACTAAGTATTCCGACCAATATCGGAAAACATAAGTAGAAATGTTTTGAAATTTCCTCGTAGGTTTTTAAAATACAGAACAAAAGTATCAGGTTTTGAAAACAAGGATGTTGCAAACTATGGAGGAAAAGTCAACATTGAACCTTACACATTCATCCAAAAGTTTATAAATCATAAAAATACCTAATAGGCTTTGCCCGGATTGTCTTTCGATAGGGTTGTCACGGGGCTAGTTTAGTTCTCGGCAATCAAATTGTGATGTTGTTATAATCCTTCAACATATTTCAAAGCCAAAATATTATCTTTCATGAATTGAGTGTATTAATATGGTTAATATCATGTCTTTCTCCATCTATCCTATTTGCATGCAACCTCACACCAACCTATCCTATATATATATATATATATACCAATTCAACTTGATTTTTTGGTTTAATGCTGAAAGTGAATTTATTTCCATGATAACACTGGGTTGGAAAATGCCCCATAGCATATACTATGAGAGAATTTACATACACAACACATGCAACTTTCCAATTTGCATATCTAACATCAAATATTCACTATTTACTAAACTACAACTCGAATTTTCTAAACAAATCTCCTAAATCCCTCCATTAACACTTAAATTTTAATCTCTTTGTCAACAGATTCCATGACATTGTAGGCCTCATCACGTTAATGATCCACATTCAAGAGAGAAAAACTATCAACAGTGAAGTCTTGTTAGACAACTACTCATACGTATGATGAAAGTTGAGATGATAGCCGTGATGAATGAGGCAACAGCAAGATGCCCGAGAAGGCCCTAACCATGGTAGCACTCTAATAGGCATTTGTACCAATAGACGATCTCCACTACAGAAAAACAACCCTCAAGAATAGTGCCTGAGCACTCAACAAGAGTTTTAATTTGGTTTCATGTGCTATTTGAATTTCCTTTTATATTATAACTTCAGATTAAGCGGTATGATAAAAGATTATCATGTTCAGCACCTTTGGGAGATAAAGCTGTGAGAATTCACCTATAAAATTAACAAGGAAAACTGGTATGCTGATGTTATACTAAGAGCTCAATCGGCCAAAAAACAATGAAAATGCCAGCAGGTAAGGCAAACATGTGAAGAGTCACAATCCGTGCTTGTCCGCAAAAGTTAATTCGATCATTTTTCATAATGAACAAAAATTTTTTATAAGTCTGTTTTTCCTAATTAATTCCGCTGACAGCAACAACAATTATGCTCCATACATGAATTTTCTGAAAATGGAGATTGGCTGGTTAGCCTTATCTTAAACGCAATAGTCCCAATGCGATCTTCGAAGTTAAAAAAAAAAAACAAAAAAAAAAAAACAACTCCAAGAACCTTGCAACAACATAATATCAAAAGGGAAACCAAAAATCTTGATTATAAGGTAGTGAGAAAGATGAAGAAATGCAAAGACCTGCAATTAGATCTTCCATGGAAGGAGTTGAAGACAAAGAATTTGGAGTCACTGTGGAAGTTGAGGGAGTCTTCTTTCCCTCGTCTTCAGAAGCCAAGCCGCTCTGCGACTGACCCATCGCGAGAGGTGGCCAGAAATGGAGTCGCCTATAGGCCCGACGACTGGAATTTCCCTTCGACGACTTGGTGCTAAGCTTCGAGCTCCATTTTCACGTGCATTTGGTTTAACGAGAGGGTATAAGAGAAGTGCTAAAATATACAAATAAAGAATTGTACTTCATAAATTCATTAGCCGAAATCTCCAAGAGAGCCCACAAAGGGGATTCCATCAAATATCAAAGGACCCAATACTTCGCGACCCGAAGCTGATCATGTGCAGGTCATCCAAACCAAAGACCAAGATCATATCGAGGTGAAAAAAGGGATTAACCCAACTCTCACTATAACATAGTCATCCATCTCATTAACCACAATATAGTCTACGAACATTCTAAATGACCTTTTGTCAAGAGGCGAACTACCTCTCAAATTACGATATTTCACCTTCTGCCCAACAATCTAGTCTCATCATTGTGATTTGAGTGTCACTCGCAGACAAATTCAAATTCAACGGAAATTTAAAATATATATTTAAAAAAAATTAATAACCACTTAATATTTAAGAAAATGTTACATGCTTAGTACACAATTCTTATGTGTACAACAAAAATAGGTTAGCACAAATCTCAAGAAGATACAACGAACGAGGAGATAAAGAAGTGCAACTAAAAAGGACTAACTAGCTGAAGAATAAAGGGGTCACTAGAGAAAACCAATTTGCCCACTTGACTAGGTGCAACCCTTTTAAACAAGAGCTAGAGGCCAACCCAATGCAGTATGTTGACACAATTTTTAATGTTATATGCGTAGGGCGTTCGTTCGACTGACTCGGGATGACCCACTGCTTATTCATAGCATCTCGTAGCTCAAGTCCGTAAGCTCTCGTAAGTATTTAGGGCACGAAACCAAGATTTGTGATGATTTGATCATAGTCAGGAGAACTCGCAATTGGACAAACTCACCCATGAGATTGGACATGTTTGATGTCCATTCTAATGTTTAGAGGTCCCTCTGTATCCATTTGGAGCCTCCTCGGGGTCAAGGGAAGTAACAAAGCCCTTTTATGCGCGCTACGGGAAGATTAGAGTTTGGAACGCCTTACCTGTGCTGTATTCCGGAGCGCCCGTTGGCGAAAAATTCTCCTATCATTGGACAAGCCAAATACTCATTTTTAAGGTTAGAGGATCATAATTCACTCATATGGGGTCTTCCATGACTTTCAGATCGAGAAAATCCTTTATCGGGCTCTCCTAGTGTAAATTAGGGTTTTCTTGGCTAGATCGGTGCCTAAATGCCAGACTCGGGCTCTTAAGCACCCAAAATGCCTTCTCGAATGTTCAAAACCGAGCTCCTAGAAGTTTGGCGCCTATCCTTGGTGCCTAAGCGCCCAAAACTGCTAAAACATGTTTATTTTCCTGAGCTATTGGAAAGTTGGCACTACCTGGGTGGCACCATGGCGCTAAACTAGATGCCTATGCGCCAATCTGCTTCCATAACCTGAGTTTTGACATGAATTTTGCCCTTTTGACCCCGGTGCACCCCCTTAGATAGCCCAAAAGCTGGATTTCCTTGTGCTATGAGGGGGTTTGCCTTGGGCGTGCAAAAAGGGGATCATCATACCCTTTTGGAAGCTAAAAAAAAACGTCCTTCCGAAGCGGGCAACGGGATTTCAATTCCGATGACCGACAGCTTCTTACGGGCAAACCTCACACCAAAAATAGTGCCGACACTCCACTTCATTTCAGTTTTGGGCTGAGGGAAAGCTTTCTTGGAGAGCAATTGGAGGGCTTGAGAGTGCTAGTAGGAGAACACCATCTTCTTCCTCAAGAAGCTTTATCTTCTTTGATTATAGAGCTTGGAGCAAAGAGATTTTAGGAAGGCATTTCATCTTCCTCATGAGAGAGCTAAGATGTTGATGCTCCTCTTTTCCTTCTTCCTTCATTTTCTTCCTCTTCTTCCATCTTTTAATTTGAGTGTGTGAGGAGAGTTTTGTGAGAAAGAGCTTAGCTAGCAAGGGAGCAAGGTGCTTACTCTCATACACTAAAGGAGAGTTTCATCTTAGCTAGGAGAAGGATCTTTAGAACTTTGTCGGAACTTCTTCGGGGCTCGGAACTCCGCAGAACATCGTTATCTCTCCTACCACTAGGAGAGCTTCATCCTGCGTAAAGAAACACGAATTAAACCCCACGTTGGTGAGATTATCTAAAAATGCCTCACGTTTTCTTTCTTAGCTAGCCATAAGAGTAGTTTTTTCTAGGTATTGTGAGTTTACGTCGCCCACACGAGGCAGGTTAGACACCCGGTATCGTCAGGCGTAATCAATTGCCCATCACCGGATGACGCGATTGGCCGAGCAATACCGATTGACATGGCCATACGTCTTTGGATTGACCAAATTTATGGTGTCATTGTGAGTTCGATCGCCCACACTAGGCAAGTTTGTCGGCCAACACTAGTCAGCTCAACCACACGCCTATTGATTGGCTTTTTATATCCTATAGGAAGCCCTAGGTTAGGAATCACATTTGTGACCAATCCCTTGCGAAGCTGAGTGATTCTTCCATCATAAGTATTAGCCCTAACCTTGATTCTTCTATGATAAGTCTTAGCCCTAACTTAAGCTGGTCAGAATACCAAATTTCCCATTGCCTCCTTGGAGGTGTTAAAATACTTAGAATTTGTGAAATGAGAAGAACTTTGTAACTAGCTCACTTTACAAAATCATGAGTGGTGGAATGGGAAAAGCTTTGTAGCTATCTCATCCCATAACGTTGTGGATATTTTCCTTTTGCAAATTTGAAGTTGAAGCTCCCCACAAGCCTCGCCAAAGCAGAAGGCGACTTTGTCACACATCCATGTGTTGCACCCTAGGTACCTAAGTGAGGATGTTGGCACGAGTATGGCTCCTCATTAATCTTGATCACTTGCATCATGTTAATTTTGTATTACATCCTGAACTTTGCATGTGACGTAACACATTGCCTCGATCAGCCCTCCTGGCCTGGTCAGCATAACACATTGCATCGACTGACTACCCCAACCTGGTCGACATAGAACATTGCCTTGATCAGCCACCCCGACACGATCAACCTTTCACTTTGGTATGACCGGCTGCCCCAGCCTGGTCGACCAATCACTTTGGTCAATTCAGTCACCTTAATTTGACTGAGCCCGTTGGCTGCATTGCCCTTGGTTGACCACCTTGGTCGACTCAGCAGATTGAACAACCGATTTCACTTGCACCCTTATCGTGCGTCCTTAGACATATGCCTTATATGTTTGCAAAGAGTACTTGTGCATCCCAATGACACATTACTTTGCATTTTCTTCGTGACATTTTCTTGTCATTTAGCACCACGTCACAAGTGATTCACAATTACACTCGAGCACTTCTGCATGTTTGTCTTGCATGACATTTCACATGTTCATCTCTCGCATGATTGAGTTTGTTTGCACTCAGATTCGTGTTTTATCACACTTATCTCTCACATTCACACATCATGTGAACAGGCGACTCGTCACCGAGTTAGTTCGTTGTGTAATTCTCTCCAACAGGAATTACATCCCTACCTTCCTACGACACTGCTCTGGACCATCGTAGGCACATCTATCGGGTCACTGCTTTCACGACAGACCCATTCTTTGGTCCGCTACCTTCACTACATGCCCGCCCCTTTTAGGTTACTACTTTCATGCCACACTCTTTTTTCTGACTGCTACCTTCACGACATGCCCACCCCTTTTAGGGCCACTTCCTTGACAACATACCCATCCTTTGTGTCGCGACCTTCAGTCTTTGTCTCCATGGCATGCCCACCCTTTCAGGTCATTGCCTCTGTGACACACTCATCCTTTGGTTCGTTGCCTCCACGACAAGATTAAACTTTTGGGTCAGTGCACCCCGTGCACACTCAGTCTTTCAGGTCACTGTCTCTACAACACACCCATCTTCCGGGTCGCTGCCCCCGAGACACTCTTACCCTTCCGGGTCATTGCCTCAATGATACACCTATCCTTCAGGTCGCTGTCTCCACCACACATCCACTCTTTTCAGGTCATTGTCTCCACAACACACCCATCTTTCGGGCCACTACCTTCACGGCATGCCCGCCTTTTTCGGTCACTGCTTCCATGACACACCCATCTTTCTCCTCTTGCCTTCACGTCACAACCTTCACATCACAACCATCTTTTGGGCCACTTCCTCCACGACAAGCCTACTCTTTTCAGGTCACTGCCTCCTCGACACACCTACCCATCCTGGTCACTGACTCCACGACACACATCCTTCGAGCCGCTACCTTTACGACACACGCATCCTTCGAGCCACTACCTTTAAGACACACCCACCCTTTTGGGTTGTTGCCACCATGACGCAACCATTCTTTGGGCCGCTGCCTTTACGTCACACCCACATTTTTGGGTCACTGCCTCCATGACACACCCATTTTTTTGAGTTATTGCTTCCACGACACTCACACTCACTACTTTTATGTATGATTGATCACATTTGCATTTGCATGTGTGTGTGTATAGCAAGCCGAACTCGATAGGTGAATGACCCGTATTGGTTGTGATGTCTTAACGAACATTAGTTGTTGGGTCGATCCCAACGAGTAATGTAAGTTAAAGCATTGAGATTAACACGGGTATGATTGTGATAAAGATTCAAGGGATCTAACTCGTGTCACCTTGTATGTTACAGGTCCATATTTAACAACCCTTTTTTTAAAACAAAAAAAAATATAATTCTCTACTTATTACATTCACCATAATTTTAAAATTATGCATGTAACAAACTAGGCCATATGTCAGACCAACACTTTTCAAAATTCATTATGGGCGACACCCTTTAAATCTCTTGGATCTTTGGTATGGGGTCGGTGTGGCGAACCCGTCAAAGTTATACATACCTAAGACTTATCTTGATCACTTAAATGTTGGTTATGACACCTCATTAGATGGTATGCTAGGCTAGGACTAGGTTGTTATGTAGTATTTTTGATGACTCTGATTATTGTTCTTTGTCGGCTTATTTTCTCCAACCATGTGTAACTTTTTGTACTTTAGTGTGCTTGTGCATGTTTGTTTTGATATGCATGGTAGTATATTAGAGTGGTGTTCTATAGGGGGTCATGCCATATATATGCATACACACACACACTGGTCGAATAAAAGGGGGGGGGGAGCAAATTAATGATTGTTCTTAACTATTTTCTACAAACGTTGCTTAGCTCTCCCACCAGGCATAACCCATACAAGTTGCATGCTTGTTTGGCTTTCCTGCTGGCATTAATTTTGTCTAGGTCGGATCCTTTTTCTTATTTTTCTTGATGTAAGTTTTAGAGTCCTAGGAAGAATATGTATTAAAAATAAGATATTGGCACGGGTTCCGAGAAGCGAGACGGACAAAATCATGTTATGGGGACCAAGAACTATTTGTTCGTGTCTGGTACCTTAATTATAAATTTCATTTATGTATAGAATTAGATTTAAGTGTGTACTTATGCATAACTTGGCCACCTTTTCTTTTCCGAGGCATGTTGTCGACCTAACAACACCAACATTTTATTATTTCTTATTTGACTTACTTTCTTGCTTTTTTTTAGCATGTTTGTATGCTTGGCTTGTCTTCTTTTGTTTATTTATGGTTGATCTGGGATGCCACAAAAATTGCAATTTAGGCTCTTTAGGACATTAACATTGTAAATTTTTCTACGAAAATTCTAATAAAAAATTCAAGATTATTTAAAATGTGAGATTAAAAGATTCAGGACTTTAAAAAACTTGTTTTTATTTTTTTGCATGACATTCAAGCCAGTTTTAAAACGGGTTGGATACCAATCATACCATGACATTCACTCAAGTCATATAATATGACCTCCATAATATCTAAGGACCACTATAGATAACTAAATCATCTGCATGGGTGAAGCCACTGTGCTTCTCCAACTCAACCGACCTAACCTAAATTTCTACTTAGGTGGTTGTCTAGTGAGCTTAGGTCGTTAAAAGACTCTCTGGACCAGACAGGGTGTAAGTCTTTTTTGTTGGGAATGTGCAAACATTGTAACTAAACCTCCCTTTCTCTTCTTTCCCAGCGGCATTCTCATCACAGTGACAATTATAAGTCAAACCTCTTGGAGCTCCATCTGATAGTCACATGATTGAGTTTCGTTCCTTTGACCTTAGGGCTACTGAGGTCCCTGTGGATGATGCAATTCATAGATTGCTGATCGGTGATCTTTGGACATGTAGAGTTGACTACTTTCATGACCAGGTAGACTTAGGGTCTCAGTGGCTTGGGATGGCGGGTCCATGGTTCCCCGACCTGGCTATCTCTACATGTAAGAGATTGCTCCTTCCTCCTTTGATTGTCCTTATTGAGCCCTATTGTTTCTTTTGCCTTAATATCATCTTGCAGACCTGATTTCAATGAGCTACTGCCTGTTTGGGATACAATGATTGATCCTCTGCTCTTATGACCTGAATGTGCTTTGACGTATTATAATTCTCCATCATGGTGATTCAGTTATTTCACAGGTTCTGTATGTCAATGAGTCAGTTTCCCATGTGGGAACATGAGAGACTTCCTCTCTACCCCGTGGCTTAATGAGAGCTTTGAAAACTTCAGAGCATTCCCATGTGAAATAACCATCCTTTAATAGCTTAGTGCTAATTGTTACTACTAATGCAAACAAAACTCATTTGGATCAAGAGTATTATTGGGCATCGCCAAGTTGTAATTAACCAAGTAGGATATGTCCCTTTGGGAGCACTGTAGACCCAAGAACATTCAAACACTCCCGAATCTTTGGTTGTGGGCAGTCTTCATAGGTATTCTTTTGCAAATTTTGGTCCAAGATGCTTTCATCCGATCTTGTTTGGGCGGACATACTTGACACATCCTTGTAAGGTTTATTGCACGAAGACACTCCACATTTTCTTTCTCTTGTTTATTGTTTTATCGTATGTTCGTCTTTTCTTGTTCTTCTCTTCTTCTAATCATTTACATAATCCTAAATATAGACTTATTAGGAAAAGAGAAGTAAACGATGATGGACAAACTAACGACTCCTTTAAAAAAAAGAGAAAAGAAAAAAAAATTGAGCGGTGAATCCGCTAGGGATGAAACTTTCTCTTCACCACAGGAGTTCTGCTTACCTTTTGTGAATTTGAGTTTATTCACAAGAATAACAGTTCCTTTGGGAAAGATTTACTCTCTTCTCGTCTACAGAGTTGTGTTTGCCTATCATGCAGGTCATAGCATATACACAACTTTGCAGAGCTCCTAGGAGTAGTGCACTCTCTCCTTCATAGGGGTTTTGCTTACATTTTTAGTGACCTAGTTCCTTAGTTGGCAGTGTCACTTGTTTGCGTCTTTTTGGACCTTGGACTTCATATACTATATCCCGTCTTGTACCCTGGACAACCGATTGCTGCATTATCGCGTACATCAATGTCGTTGTATTTTTTTTGCGACCTACAATTGTTGTCATAACTCACCACTATAGTCTACGTGTTCAACTAAGGCCTACTTGACTCAGAACTAGTATTGTTTCCGACTCCTGCCCTTGCAGCTTACATGCATAATCACAACGCATCAATACAACCTACATGGCTCACAACTCCAAAAAATTCCTATTATGTCGTTTATGGCTAACCAACACCTTGAAGAAACTATGTGCGACTCACATGACTAAATACTGTTGTGACTTTCAACTATGACTTATACGACAAACTACCTCCACAACCATCTATAATATTCAAAGCAGACTGCTGCCTCCATAACAACCAACTACCGGCTTTGCATCATGCTATCAGCCAAATCTATATTCTTTACAGTATGATTATGATTATGATCAATGAAATATTATTGTACACTTGCAACGATTTACTCTGTAACTCTGTTTTCCTTAATTTAGGAAAAGAGTCACCATTAATAGTTGATTATTTCAACTGAGTTAGTCCCTCTAATTTTTTCCTCTAATTCCTCCCGATTCTCTTCAATCATTTGAGTATGTGTTGGAGTCTCGAACAATATTAATATGCTAAATAATCACTCTATAGCCGTAAACATTTCAAAATACGCCGAAGTTAATCATAAATATTTTTTAGGAAATTTACATGTATACCACCAAATTCTTATGCATTTATATATTTAACACACATATTTGACATTTTACATTTATATCACTCAAATCTTTCATCACAAAAAATACCACCATTTACATATATACCACTAAATTCTTATGTATCTACATATCTAACCCCTATCTTTCACTTCTACATACATGTATATCATAAAAAAGTTGTATTTTATCTCTTAAAAGTTAAAATAATAGCATTTTGACGAGGTATGAAATACTTGATTGGTATAAATGTAAAAAGTAAAGGTTAGGAGCAACATATGTAAATATAGAGATTGAGTGGTATATATGTAAATGCACATTATTAAATACTGCCCCCAGAATCAGAAAACTTATTCCATACGGACGGGCACCGCATGTAAGATGCACGCGGTGTCTGATCCTGATCGTACATCAGGTGATCCTGATGAGTATTTTTTTCGGTGGCCCACCTTTTTTTTTTTTTTTTTTTTTTTTTTTTAAATCAGGATCTCGGACACCCTAAGGAATAATTTCTCCCAGAATCAACCTTTGTAAAAGCTCTCCCTCCCGATCCGTCACTGCTTCGATCGCACGGGCAATGGGAAGTCCCTTTGAAGGCAACTTCGTTGCAGGCCACGCAGCCGCCGCCTCTGTTGCTTTCGTTCTCTCCTCTTCCCTCACCCATCCGCTCGACACGCTCAAAACCCTACTCCAGGTACTCTCTTTCTCTCTCTCGCCATATGAGCACTGTATTCGTTATCACCATTACTCCGAGCGTAATTACCGCAGTCATTCAGCGACTGGCGCCGCTTAGTTTGAATTTTTAATGTATTTTCTCAATGAAGTTTTTGCTTGGTTTCGCACACTAACAGGTGGGTGCAGGGCCGAAGCAAAAACTGAGTATTTCTCAGGTGCTTGACAGAGCGAGATCGGTTTCTGGGATTGCTGGTATGCCATTTCAATTCACGATCGCGAGTTTAATTCTTTGCTGCTACTTTTTTACTGCTGAATTTTGATTTGAGGCACTTAGGTGTATTTTGTTATTCGCTTGTTTTGACTGAGGGTTTCGAATCAATTAACAATGATGCAGTGTATTTTTTAAAATCTATGCTCTAGTGTAGACAATATGAAGCAGTGGAATGGGGATTTGATGACTGTAGTTCCGTTAGACTGGTCTTGCTGTGGGAATTCATACTGATATTAAGATTTCTAGTGAATGTTATATTCTCATTTATTTCATTCCACAATTTCGGCTGCTGTACCTTGTTACTGCTTATCCTTTCAAATGAATGTTATCCGTATTTTTGTTTGGAAAATTTTGCACTTGAATGTTAAAGGATAATTTATACATAGACATTCGGTTGAACCATTTCAAGCTTGATAGTTTTATGTTCAGCTCAAGCTTGAGGTGAGCTTTCACATGCATTTTTATGTTTGGCTTGTTTAAATTTTTTAATAGCTATACTCGACTTATTTATCTTAATTGATCGAGCACTTAGTCAATGAATAATTTAAAAATTCTAACAAGTATTTTACTTTTCTTATAGAATCATTAACAAATAATTTTATAAATCCTAACAAGTAATAACAAAATATTGAATTAATATTTAACTAGTTTACATCAATTAAATATGATAATAAATAAATTATAATAAGACTTTATGCAATCATATAATATAAATAAATACTAACAAATTAGTTCATTGCAATAAAAAATAAATAAAATGCATTAAATTAATATCTTTATTGATATTAAAGTATAACACTGCCATTGCTGGTCCCAAGTCTGGATGTGAAAAGTAGAGAGTTGCGTTAGATAGTCGACAGCTAGCGTGAAACTTGTTGAAAGGAATCATGACATGAATCCTTTTGATCATTGTGTAATATGTGTTAGGGCGTCCCCTAGAAGCGACGTGCTGTAGAGCCTGAATATAGTGAAAAGTGTGCAAGGGCCGCTACATCGACGCCCGTGTGTAATGTCAAATAACCAAGGGTTCCCACATTACAGACGAACGCAAGTAAAGAAGTTAGTCCATAAAACTAATGAAACTATTATTAGGACAAGATATTGGAATATAAGTACTTTCAATAGTAAATTAATGAAATTAATTGATATTATGATTCATAGGAAAATTAATATCTTATGTATTCAAAAAACTAAATGGGTTGGAGAAAAGACTAAGGAGATTGATAATTTAGGTTTTAAAATTTTGGTATTCTGGTAAGAGTCGCACTAGAAATTGTGTAGGTATAATTATTGATAAAAGTTTGAAAGATAATGTTATAAAAATTAATAGAGTTATAACCCTTAAGATTATCATTGATACTAAGATTTTTAATATTATAAGTGCTTATGCTCCTCAAGTAGGTTTAAATACATGGTCTAAAGATAAATTTTGGAATGACTTAGAAGACTTAATACAAATGATACATCTTGAAGAAAAACATTTTATTGGAGGAGATTTAAATAGACATGTAGGTAAAGTGATAGAAGACTTCAAATATACTCATGGTGGCTACGGTTTTGAAGTAACTAATGAAGAAGGTAGAACTATTTTAGATTTTGCTTCAGCGTATGTTTTGTTATTACTAATACTTTATTCAAGAAAAGAGATGAGCATCTTATTACTTATAATAGTGAATCTAATAAAACACATTGATTATTTTTTTATGAGAAGAAGAGATCATCGAGATTGTAAAGATTGTAAGGTTATTCTAAGTGAGAATTTAAGTACCCAATATCGTTTATTAGTTCTAGATTTTAAGATGAAGAGTTGTTAGAATACTAGGACTCATCATCGTATAATTAGATTCATCGTATAATTAGATGGGAAAGATGGGAAAACCTAAAAGACACAAATAAAACTATTTTTATGAGTAAAATTCAAAATTTCAAAATTTGGGATGTTTGTGAAGAATCAAATGCTATTTGGGATAAAATAACATACACTATTAAACAAGTAGCAAATGTTGTGCTTGGAGAATTAAAAGAAAAAATTTTTATAAATAAAAATAGTTGGAGGTGGAATAATAATGTGCAAGAAAAGATAAAATATAAGAAGTTATGTTATAAAAATTGGTTTAAATGTAAAAGCTTAGAGAATTGAAAAAATATCAAATGATCCGCAGGGAGTCTAAAAGAACAATTTGTGACGCTAAAAATTTTGCTTTTAATGATTTTTGCTTTTAATTAGATATTAAGGAGGGTGAAAAAAATATGTATAAACTAGCCAAACAAAGAGAGAAGAAAAGTAAAGATTTGCCAAACAAAGAGAGGTATAAACTAGCCAAACAAAGAAAAAAGCGAAGTAAAGATTTAATTAAAGATGAAAATATTAAAGATGAAAATAAAAAAGTATTTTTTTTAGAAAAAGATATTCAACATAGGTGGGTGAGTTATTTTGATAAACTTTTTAATGAAATTTCTGAAAATACGATCGATCTTAGGGATCTTATTATCGTGAATGATAATAAAACGTTTCATTTTTACCGTCACATTGGTAAAAAGGAAGTTGAGGAAGCTTTAAAGAACACAGAGTGGAAAGTCTGTAGGACCTGATGATATCCCAATTGAAGTGTGGAAATATTTAGGAGATTTGAGAGTTTCTTGACTTACTAAACTATTTAATAATATTTTAAAAACTAAAAAGATGCATGAGGAGTGGAGGAAGAGTATTTTGGTCCCCATTTTTAAGAATAAAGGGGACGCACAAGAGTGCGCAAATTATAGAGGAATTAAGTTGATGTGTCATACTTTAAAATTATGGGAGAGGATAATTGAACATAGGTTAAGAAGCATTACAAATATTTTTCATAATCAAATTGAATTTATGCCGAGCAGGTCTACTATGAAAGCTATACATTTATTGAGAGGTTTGATGGGGAAGTTCAGAGATAATAAGGATAATCTACATTTGATTTTTATTTATTTTGAAAAACCTTACGATAAGGTCCCAAGAGATATCCTTTGGAGAGTTCTTGAGAAGAAATGTGTTGATATGACTTATATTCAAGTCATTAAAGATATGTATACTAGAGTTGTTACTTGTGTTCAAACTGAAGGAGGATTGACAAAATATTTTCCTATTTCTGTTGGTTTACATCAGGGATCGACTTTAAGCCCATATCTTTTTGCTTTAGTTATGGATGGTCTTACTGGACATCTACAGGAGGATGTACCTTGGTGTATGCTTTTTGCTGGTGATATCCTGTTTGTGGATAAAACGAGGGAAAAAGCTCAGGAAAAACTTGAATTATGGAGGTCTACATTGGAGTCTACAGACCTTCATTTAAGTAGAACTAAAACTGAATACATGGAAGTAGCTCTAGTGACATAAGTGTGACTTTGGGTGATCAAATTATTAAAAGGTGTGAACGATTTAGATATCTTGGATCTATTGTTCAAAGCGATGGTGATATAAATGGGGATGTTAATAGTAGAATTCAAGTTGGTTGGTTGAAGTGGAGGAATGCTTTGGGCCTTTTGTGTGATAGAAAAGTACCGCTTAGACTGAAAGGAAAATTTTATAAGAAGGTGGTGAGAATTGCAATGCTTTATGGCGTTGAATGTTGGCCTTTAGAAGAGAAGCATAATAATAAGTTAAGTGTTGCCGAGATGAGAATGATTAGGTGGATGAGTGACTTTACACTTAGAGACAAAATGCGAAATGAATATATCCGTGATAGGGTTGGTGTAGCTCCTGTGACAGACAAAATTAGAGAAAGTCATCTTAGATGGTTTGGTTACATTAAACGTCGACCGTCAGATGATCCGATTAGGAGAGCATATGTTTTAGATTCGACTTGTGTTAAGAAAGGTAGAGGTAGACCTAGGAAGACTTGGGCTTATTGTATAAAAAATGTTCTTAATTTACTAGAACTAAATGAAAATATGACACTAAATAGGATACAATGGATAAAAAAGATTCATGTAGCCGACCCCACGTAGTGGGATTAAGGCTTTATTGTTGTTGATGTTGTATTGATATTAAAGTATAATTCATTACTATAAATATATACTTAAATAAATTGTAGTTGATCAAATTTAATTTAATAATATGTCATATATACTATGAGCTTTCATGTAGCTTATAATAGAGCATTTAACAAGTTACTCATTGAATAATAAATAAATTTGTTTATGAACATAAATAAATTAGTTAGACCTTATTTAAGTTTGGTTTGTTTAACCTTCAAGCTCTTAAAAATATTCAAGGTTGTTTATGTACTATTCTGAAAACACTTGATCGAGAATTAATTGATCCAAGTAAAATTTGTTTATTGAGTGCATTGTTTCATTTACAGTTCTAGCTGCGAGTTTTCCAGTTTCCATATACTTGAATATTACTAAGTGCTCATATCTATGTAGTCTGAATTTTTGCATTCTATTTTTCACTGGGTTCATGCCATGTTCTGACTGGTCATCTTTATATTACTATCGTACTGTTCTATCATCCCCCACTGTTGGAAGGGTATGAAATTTCCATACATCTCATTCATGTCATCTAACCAATATATTATTTCATCACTTGTTAGGCCTCTATAATGGTCTGGGCTGGTCAACGATGGCTATGGTTTCAGGAATGGGAGCTCGTTTTGGAGTTTTTGAAATATTATCTGCTTTCTATACAGGTAGAATTAGCTCGATTCTTTTTCAGATGCCACATAGAAAAAATATTGTCAACTCCTCTTTCTTTATGTTCCTATGTTACCTGTATTGAATCTATGCTATAGTTAAAACAATCCTATGCTTAAATGGTATGCTGCAAAATTTTTCATATAATGGTAAAAAAAATTAGCATTTTAATTTTGGTAGGAAATACTGAAAGTAGATTATTTCATCTAATTGTTCGTTGTACAAACATGATACTCAATGAGCAAGTCCTTTTTTATTTTAACAATGCTTGATTATTTATTGCAGCATATCAGGAGAAAAGCCGTTTGCTTTCCAACTGTGTAGAATATGTACATACAATCATTTTTGAGGTTGATACTTAAGTGATATGGCTGCTACTTGCCTCTTAAACTGGGACAGAAAGAAAGTAATAGTGCTGGCCAAGTTTATAATGTTAATAAATTGGTTTCTAGTTAATTTGAGCTTCAACTCTTTAGGACTTTGCTACCTTTTTACTTGGCTGTCCTTTATCCTGGACCTTGGAGTTTGCCTCATGTGAAGTGTTCTGGAGTGTGTAGAACTGGGTTACAGAATCTAGTCGAGGTGAAAATATGTGAATACGGGTTTCTAATCCTGACTGATGTGATTTCAAAGTTATCTTTACCATTGACATGCCAAAAATTCTTGAGGTAGTGCTTTTTACCCTTAATTCAATTTTAAAAAGTTGGCTTTTTCATTATTCTCTCGTTGTTGCAATGCATGGGCAGAGAATTTAGGGTTTAGGGTTTAGGGCAGAGAATTCAGCTTTGTAGTCACCCTAGGGCAGAGAATTCAGTATTCTATTTGGGCAGCCAGCAACGTCCTGTTTTCCTTTCAAGGGTTGTATCTGACAGCGAGGAAGTGCTCCAACTGTCCCTCGTCCGAGATAGTGATCGTCTCCACGGATTCGGGTGGTGCTCCGACTGTAGTTTGACCCCGTCGAGATATTTATTTGTCATTCCAGCCCTTCATGCTGCCAACTTCCACATCCCTCTCGCTGATATCCTACTGTTGTCCCCAATCTGCAGCTTCTGCAACCTCCCAAACCGCATTTGCTACTGACATTCCAACCACAAACCTTCTTCCCTCCCTGTTGCCCTCCAACCTGCACCCTTTGCTGTGAAACCGCTACCACCTACCTTTGTAGGCTCCCTAGGGTGTCCTGTTATGTTCATTTTATCATTTCCCTTTTGTTTGAGTCGTTGTTTGTAACCTTAATGAATTTTCAGCAATAATATTCACATTTTATTTGAGGTTTGGGTTAAATCCGGTATCATAGCTACCTAAACCTAGTTCTATCTTAGGGTTTCCTAGTGTTCGCCTTACCCTTCAACTAAAAAATTTTCTTTCCTATCCTGAACCACTCAATCCAGAACACTGAGGCCCAACTTATCATAAATGAGAAACATTTGAGATTTTTACTTGTTTGACATTTGGCTCAGGAATATCTACGTGGTGGTGTACCTATGGCTCAGATTATGCCAAACCAGAGCGGATCGATAGGGAAGTATGCTCGCAAGTGGGAAAAATAATTTTGGTAGCCAGTGCAGTTGCCAGTGGGATCCAACAACGATCGATGAGAACCAAAAAGCTTCGATGAATGAGGTCGAAACTCCCCCAACCCCAGGAGACTAACGCGGGGCTTTGGGGAGGACCGACCTATGGTTCGGTCTAGGCCGGGCGGGCCGGTCCTCAAGCGGGAAGGGTTGCTAACCCCCCTTTCCTTTTCTTCCTCCTCTTTCCCTCAATTTTCTCTCCTTTTTCCTCATAATATCTTTCCTTTTCCATGAAATCCCGTATTATAAATCATTTTCTATTATATTAATTCTTTTTTATTCTATTTTCTAATTGAAAGTAGTGCTTATCATAACTCCTAATCCCTCTTATTGTTTTTGCTTAGAAAAGGAGGATTTTGTTACTTAAGAATTCAACATTCTCTTTGGATGGCAGTTGGCGTCCTGTTTTTCCATTCGAGGGTTGTATCTGACAGCGAGGAGGTGATCCGACTGTCCCTCGTCCAAGGTGGTAATTGTCTCCACGAGTCGGGGTGGTGCTCCGACTGTAGCTCGACCTCGTTGAGATATTTATTTGTCCTTCCAACCCCCCCTTTCTGCTGCTGTCAGTCAGGCTACCAGCCCTACAGCAGATCGCTGCCACCCCTGCCCTCTGCCCAACAATCTTCGGCTGCTTCTTGGCCTGCAAGCCCACCTCACTCTCCTCCCTGCACCTCTGCAGGCTGCCACATCATCTTCCCTGCTTCCAGCCGCCAGCCTCTACATCCCTCTCCATGTTATCATACTGCTGCCCCCAAATTGCAGCTCCTGCAGCCTTCCAAACCGCAGCTTCCAGCTGCCCAAGCTGCCCTTCCACCCGCACCCACTTTCGTAGTTGACCTAGGGTGTCCTGTTATGTTCACGTTGTCATTTCCTTTGTTTGAGTCATTGTTTGTAACCTTAATGAATTTTCAGTAATAATATTCACATTTTATTTGTGGTTTGGGTTAAATCCAGTATCATGGAGTGTCCCAAGGGCTTCGAGGAGCCTCCCCCGGCCCTAGCTCCAAGCCTACGACTTCGAGTCTCCAACGCAGAGCTCCACATGCTTCCTGGAATCTAACGCAGTTTTCCCAAAACTCTATTCCTTTGATTGTTCAACCAAGCTTCCACACCCATCTCAATTTTAGGCAAAACTCCAACCCCAATGGCGAACCTCAAGTTGCTAGTAGGCGATATAGGTAGATAAAGAAGAAAAAAGCTATAGATTATATCGAGAGGGTGTCGGGCAAGAGTTTGAGGTGAGAGAGGACGGAGACGGACAAGATGGTAGATCAATTGTACCTAGAGGTGAGACTTGAGAGAGGGCAAGCTGCGAGAGCGTGAGCTATAAAGTGAGACTACGAGAGAGGGCATTTGGCGAGAGCGTGAGGCGAGGCTGCGGAGAGATTTTAGGTTTTAGTGGGGGATGAAATGGTAAAGGGAGGTCAGCCGAAACTGACCTTTTATCTACTTCTTTGCACATCACAACCGTTCCCTCGCCCGTTCGCTAAACCCACGGCTGCAATCATTCCATTTACAAGCTACTGGATAAGCTAGCGAACCGAGTAGAACTTGAGCTTGAACTCGAGTTTGATAATCACTCAAGCTTTGATTCTGGCTCAAGCTCGAGCTCAAGACTTGATAAGCCTAGCTCGTGAGCCTGTAAAAGCTGTAATCAATCACCCAAAATCATCTAACTAGTTATCCATTACAAGCCGTATGAACAACAACTAACACATTGGATATGATCTCAGTTAAATTAGGAAAATCATTAAGACATAATTACTTATTTGCAACAATTGGCATGTGGACTTGTGTTACATGGAAGGAGTAATCACGCGGTTAGTACTTGGAAGTCTTAGCAAATGTCTAACTAACAACACTCGTATTACTCGTCTATGTCTTCTCTGTACTTGTCCAAGTGGAGTTGCCTTCCGATCAACTTAAAAAACCACATAATATGCTTCTAACTATGATTTGGGATGATACTGGTAGAAGTCCATACTCATACATTAGCTAATTTTCATAATATTATTAGATGAATTATACATAGGTATGAACAGAAGCACAAAGAAGTATCAGTTGAAGTTTAGTTATCATGAGGAGCAAAAAAGCCATCACTAGTGACATGGAATATGCATAACCATTCCTACATTTGGGATGGTGTTGATAGAAGCTTATTATTTATCTCTTAGTTCTTTTACAGAACGTTCTTAGTTAAAATATACAAAGATAAAAACAAAAGCGAATAGGAGCATCAGATACCATACACAAAATTTTTTTCTAACCATTAAATGTTTAATTAATTAAAAGGGGTTGGGCGTAGCTATATGCAAAGCAGCTTATTATACTTTTGTGGGCAGTATATTGATATCACTGGCACAAAATATAATATTTCTGCCTTAATATATGAATGTAACCAACCGATATGAGCGGCTAAATAATATAATACAACTCATTATGATGATATAGAATACCTGGCTGTACGCTAATTTTGACAAACCTCTGAGGTCGTGCATACTGGCAGCTAACTATAACGAATCAATTGACCTCCCTCATTGTGATCCATCTTGTGTAACCTATATTATAGTATTAGCATTGGTTCTTTCTGCCTATAAATAGAGAATCAGTGGTAACGATGAAAAATCTATATGCAATTCTGTTTCAGAATTGTTGGCACTAGAACCTCCCCTTTCTTTCCCACATTGAACTTGATGTACTCTTCTTGTTCTTTTAGTCTTTTCAGTAAAGAGTTTAACTGAGTTCTCTTCTAGTAGTCCACTTAAGGAATACAAAGATAACTCTTTCTTTATCTCTAGCTTTGTTGGTCTAGTTCTCTCTAGGAATTTTCCACTGAAAAATTTGTATCTATCAGTTTTTCAAGTGCATTGAGCTTGGAGATGGTTCTAATTGGGAAACGAACTGCTAACAACGATGACAATTGAGAAAAGATGTCTCAGAGCATGAGATGAAAAGATTTGGTCATTTTCACCAAAATTATGGGATACTTCTGGCAAGCTTCTTCACCCACCATATTATTCAAATGATTCATTAAAACATTTGCGTGTCATGCTCCTCTTAGTGTGTTTTCAACTCACTATTGGTTAATTAGTTGGCTAAACAAGTTACTAATGCTACTTCAGATCATAAAAGCTACACCATTGACAAAATCTTGGATGTTGATTTTTAACTCTTTTAATGGCAACTTGGATGTGACCGGCGATGTTGTTCTTTTTGTTTTTTCCATTTCTCTGTCACTGATAATGCGTATCGTTACCTTCTCTTTATAACTTTCAATTTCATTTTCATATGAAGCGAGCAATTCAAATGGGTCAAACAATGAAGCAAGCAGTCTTATAAATGTTTGTATTTTCTAAGCTACATTTCCTTTAATTTGAGTTGTGGTGTCCATGTAGTTTGAATAAGATTATCAATTTCATTTTCACATCTACTTTTGTGACAAAAATTGTTGCCTCATTTTCTTTTGGTTAAACTCTTATGATAAGTTTTGACAACTTCTTTATGTAGTTAATGCTATTCTTACATAAAATATAGGATATTGTTTATTTAATCTGCCAAAAAAAGCCATTCGATTCAAATTGCAATACCATATTGACATGAATTATGGATTATAAACTGGTAGATGGAAGGGAAGATACCTATGTGTATGTCTCAGAGGCCATGCTGGCTGGCATAGCTGCTGGTGCCATAGAGGCTGTGGTTCGCACCCCATCTGAACTCGTTAAGCACAGGAAACAAGCAGCTTCTACATCAAACTCTAGCATTCTGAGGACCATCAAGTCTTGGCCTGACTCGACTTCAATTGTTTCGAAATTCTTACCAAGATATACTTCTGATGTGAAGGCATGGAGCCATACTGTTGGTCTTCTATCATCCCTGCCAACAAATCATTCAAACTTGGATGCTGCATTGAAGCTATATCCGTGGATGTTGACTGGTTCTGGAAGACCCCCTCTTGCATCCTTTGTCAATGGACCTTCAGACATCGTATCTTTGGAAGGTTGGAGTGCTTTGTGGAGAGGGCTTCGGGCTGGAATTGCTAGGGACTGTTTTTACGGTGGCTTTTTCTTTGCTGTATGGCAATTCTTACACATTGGCATGCTGACCTGGAAGGCTCTTGATATGGTACCACCACCAAGGTTTGTATTAAAGCTTATTGCATGATATACTCTCATTTTAATGGAAAGATACTTGCTTGGGCTTATGGAAATTTTCACTTATGATATGTAATTGCCAACTTTCCACTGGCATGATTGAAAAATCATGCATATTCATAATATACATTAAAGTGCTAGGTTCAATTTGCGGGTATAATTTGAAAAAAAAGATGCAAGTATATTTGTATAATTACAGCCATATGCGTGTTTTTTTTTTTTTTGTGTGTGATACTGCTAGCTGCCAGGCAACAAAAGGAATAATGGGTTTGAAGGGTGGCAATGAAAATGGGCCCCCAAAGAATGTTTGTAAAGTTTGATCCTAAATCAGGTATTATTTATGTGTACCCTTATATATTTTTATTTATTTGGAGAGTTGGAAGAAAAGTCTCCAGCAGTACCTACCATATGTCGAGATACATCATAATCTACCATCCATTTTGATGACGATTGATTAGAAGCATCATCAATCCTATCTCATGTTGCTTTCCGTTTCCTCTTTAACAACTCCAGACACGCATGATTTTCATCGGTAAAAATCACAACTATTAGAGTTGCCCGGTAGCTTTTTATTCTCCCCCTGGACACCTATCAAACCTGAGCTCGAGGTAGTCAAAGCTGATCGTGCATCCATAATTTCACTTGATTCAAAGTGTAGCTTCATGCAACTCTCCTCCTTTATCATTGCAACAATGACCTCATCCAATGAAGGGATTGTCGCTTGAGCTAGGATGACAAATCTCCTCTGATCAAAGGTCGGTTTCAGGTGGGCCAGAAAATGCATAGTTTTCATATGTGCAAAGATCTCCCCTTCCTTGCACTCTAGATCGTCATAGCTCAACATTGGTGAGAAGTGATCAAGATCTGCCCATGATCGCTCAAGCTCTATGGAGCACCCTTGAATCGATCTATCACCCTGAACCACTACGTTTATCTCATGTTGAATCTGGAACATCCTCATGTGGTTCTCAACTCTAGCATAAATATTTTTTAGCTTCGCCTAGTTGTTGCTCATCTTTCGAATGTCATCTACTGATGAGACAATTGATGAAACCATCGAGTTGAGTAACTAGGTCTAAAGCAAGGCATAGTGGTCCTTCACTCCTCTCAACATTGTTACTCTTGGCTCGACTCCCATCATATATCCTTTAGTCTCTTCCTTACTATAACAACTTCAATTTGATGTGACCAAGTCAGATATGTGGCCGATCCATCAAGTTTCAGGTCCACTGGAGGGAGATCTAGCTTCACCCGTGTTGGAGCATCTGCTGAGGTAGCAACTCCCATTAAGACATGAGTTTCGTGTATGAGCCCGAACAAGACCTTCAGAAATTTAGGATTGATCTTTGTTAGAAGCTCCAAACTTTTACTTACTGCACTATTTATGTCTCTTGACATTCTCAATTTAACTATTCCCTAGCTTTCGTCGTCCTCTTATGCACGTAGAACTAAAGTTCTATCCTCTACTGTTCTGGTTTTACACGTGCTTCACCATGCCCTACGTTGAGCCGCTCAAATTATTGTGCCACAATCTAGCAACCAAGACCTCGTTAGTTTGGCCCTTCCCGAGCATGTAGTCTACTTCCCGCATCGTGCAATAGTGCCTGTATCACAAGCATCCATCGATCTCGTTGTTGCCTTCCTAGTTAGCTCTAATCGTGATTGTATCGCGTCGTGCAGTATTGCTTGTATCGCGAGTTCACACCGTGATCCATTCGTTGCCATCCTATTTAGCTCAAATTGCGGCTGCTTCGCGATGATGAAGTAGAAGGAAGAGGAAAATCGGCAAGCCGCAACAGCAACGATGCACGCCAATCCTGACGATCGAGCAGCCCGAACGACGACTCTCAGGGTGAGGACTCTGATACCATATAGAAAGAGTTTTTGGAAAACCTCATGTGTACATTCATAACATGGGTTTAAATAAGACATTACAATCTCTCACAGATAAACCTCTAGGCTTCTTCAATATTCCCTTTTTACCAATAGAACCCTAACTAAAGTTCAATTCTCAACACATACATGTTATTTTTGTCATTCCACGTTGTCATCATTTCCCCTTATTTTATTTATTTATTCATACAATCATCTCCAACTATCCATTATACCCCTCCTTTTAATTCATAACCTCTTGTATGGTAAGATACAAAGTCGGCCATAGTTACTTCCAGGTGTATTTTTTTACAAATTTTATATGTTAAATTCATGAGGTCTGGATATTGTTTAGCTGTTGTGCAGTGATTCTTCTATTTGTTTATCAAGCCCTCTCTTTATATTGTTCAGGTCAATCAATGAGGTTGGCCCTGTTTCGCCTTTGGCTTCTAGCCTTGCCGCTGGATTTTCCGGAGTGGTGGCTGCTGCAGCCTCTCATCCTTTCGACACAGCTAAAACTAGATTGCAGTGCATCGTGGAGCCCAAGGTATCTCTACCCTGTTTCATATCATCATTATTTCTCATTCTCGGTAAATATCTTGAATTCCGTTGGAGATTATTTAACTTCAAAACTTCAATCTCTTTTAAAATTTTTAAAACTACTAAAAATATGATTGTTAAATCCAATTTATAATTATTATTAAGTTATTATTAATTATTTAATTTCAGAATGGTAATTTTTATTTTATTATATGCAGTACATTAGTATGGAAAGGAAGTTCCTAAAATGGAAAGCTTCAGGGAATTGGATAGAGAGAGTTGCCGGCTTGTCTCCGGCAGATCGAAACCTGCTGCTTCGTGGTATTGGATTAAGAATGGCTTGCAGCGGTGTTGCATCATTTACTCTTGTTGCCACCTACTTGCTTGCCGTTAAACACCTCTTATAATTGGGGGGCTTTATTAAGCTGATATTGATTCATTAAAATCAACAATAAATTTTGAAGAAAACCAGTGCTAAGGTATTTTCCTTAATCGTCCAATTCTTCTTTACTTATTTCCATTTCTTCTCTTCAAAATGTTTTTTTTTTCCTTTTAATTTGCAGATTGGGTTTGCATCTGTTCTACCTGAAGAAAACTTGTTTCTTCAGCAGCTGTTGCAGCTTTTCCTGTTAAGTCCATGCGGAGTACGGCGGTTGGGTGAAATATTTAGGGAAATTTATTGAAAGGTGAAGTGATTTCACACTTTTTTTTAATCTATTTATTTGGGGCATTTACATGCATAGCGCACAATTCTCATGTATTTACATATCTAACACCCAAAATTTAATATTTACATGTTGTACACTCAAATATTTAATTTCAAATAAGAAATACGTTTATCATATGTGTGTGTGTGTGTGTCAAAAAAGAATGACTGAAGTCTATCATACGAGCCCCTAGCCACCCTCATGTGACTAAATATTCGAGGGACCGCCTTCACTACCGGCAAACTGCACGGAGGGGGACTTGAACCCATGATTAGAGGGGACTTAAAAAAAAAAAGATGATTTACAAACTCAACTCCCATGTCTCTGATCAAACACCTTTAATTTTGCCTTGCATGCCAACCTCCATATGCATAAGAAGGTATATTTAACCTTTTATAAGTGAAGATAATGATTTTTTTTTATGTGATAGAAAAAATTTGGGTGGTAAAAGTTAAAACTTTATATGTTAGATATGTAAATACATAAGAATTGGATGGTATGTATGAAAATGCCCAAAAAAAAGAAAAAAAATAAAATCAAATTTTCAGATTTATTTAGTCCCACATTATAAGAGAATTTTGTTTGCAGGTGTTTAAATAGAAGAATTAAATGTAGCGGCATAATAATCAATGATTGAAGACTCAGGATATATAGATTGGTTTTATATTATTTTATTTTTTTAAATATGAGTAAATGTTTAAATTGAGGCTCTTGATAAGTAATTAATTTCTCCATAGTGCTTGGATTAGTACCACATCATGAAACAAATAAGATACTGCTCATTTATTATGACGAGTGTTAACGAGCTAAAGTTTTGTTTGGCTCAAAATTAGCTCGAAAGAAATTTGATCTCAAATTTTGGCTCGTTTATTTCGATTCGAGCCAAAAATCGAATCAATTTTCTAGCAATTAACGATCTTTCAAGCTAAATTCACAGTCCTAATTATAAGATAGAAACACACACAATAAATTCACAGTCCTAATTATAAGATAGAAACACACACAATAGCGAGACGTTGGACGAAGTGAATCAGCTTTAGAGCGAGATGTTTTGTTTAAATGAATAAGGTAAATTTATTAGTTATGAACAAAATTTTATCATTGGATGTGAATTTTAATCTATTTTTAAATAATAAATAATCTATATTCAATACTTAAATTATCAGTTGTCTATAATTTTATTATTATTATTGTGCATCTCACGAGTAAATGAAATGAAGAAGAAAACTCCTTACACATTAGAACAAAATGAAAAGGTTGAGATGAGAAATCATCAGTATAATAGAAACTGCTCGTACTTTATTCAATACAACTAACTTATCACATCATTTTCAATGGATGTTGTTCAAACAACCATGTATCTCATCAGCCTGCTTTCTTCCCAAACACCTACAACAAATCTCTTTTTTTAATGCAAGTAATTTTTTATTTTTTTATTATTGTGTACCTCAAGAGTGAATGAGATGAAGAAGAAAGCTCCTTACAAATTAGAACTAAATGTAAAGGTTGACATGAGAAATCATCATATAATAGAAATTGCTGGTACTTTACTCAACAAAACAAACTTATCTCATCAACCCGCTTTCTTCCCCTAACACGTGCAACAAATCTCCTTTTCAACTCTTATTAAAAAAGAAACCGTAAATACCAATATGTCAAAACATTTGTTTGTGCTTAATTCCCATTACAACAATATACAATACATAATAAATGCAGTCGCAAATCCCTTTTATGTATTCTCTCGGGACGCAATCATCAACATAAAGGCTACAATATAATACATATATGTTATTTGCTATTTAGGGTTAGTTTTTGCAGTGGTTTTTGTTTGGATAGCTATCGACGTCATTCTTTTCCTTCTAAGGGTTGTATCCGAGAATGAGTGCTCTGACTGTATTTTATTATAAGGTGGTGATTGTCCTAGACTTTCTCATCCCTCACAGCATTCCCTCCACTGCCACCACTGCTATAATTGCTCCCATCATTGGCAAACAATCTCTTGTGTCGGTTTTCCTGCAACCACCTACCACGTTGTCTTTGCCGCAGGGTGTCTTTCTCTAATAATCGAGACTCTGTTTGTAACATTTATTTGAATTTCAGTAATAATAATTGCATCTCTATTGTAGTTTAAGTTAACTCTGATATTATTCAGTGAATTCAGGATTCACGTTGCGGCACAAGAAGTATTGGATTCATCGAATGACCATATTTTAGCATCTCCAAAATTCACTTTTGGCGTATTTATGTGAAATTGCGACGGCAATCCCGTTAAATAAGACCTACCAAACACCCCCCTGAAGAGAAATGGACAACACATCATGCCAGGCTGATAAGTGATAAACACATTTATGATGTCCCTGTTAATAGTATTTAATTCCCTATGCAATACAATCGATTTAATGATTCTATTCCAAATTAATCGCTTGCCCAACTTAGCTAAGTATATATCCTGAATTACTTTTGTAATCACCAAAGAATGAGAACCCTTAATGTCACGAATAGTACCACATCGTTAAGTTCTCTAATTTACTATTACTTTATTAAGAGATTAAAAAATTGAACGTTGGCCTTAATTGGATGAAGTGAATCGGTTTATAGACCGCGGAAAGTCCCCGGGCCAATTCACAGAAATGTGGGTATAGGAATATATTTGATCTTTATGGATCTGTTTGAGGCTAAGACGTGCGTGGAGCCCATGACAATTGATCTTTAGGATTATATGGCCATATCTATCACAGTCATTCACTTGGCTAACAAGCTAACAGAACGGGGCTTACATCCAATTATTATTTTTTTTTATGATTATTTATTTTACTAATATCCCAAATTTTAGGAGATTTACATGCACATCACGCCACTTGAAAATTTACATATTCAACAACATAAATATATATTTACATGCATAACATCATAGTAGGGCTGTCAAAAAAGCTCGTTGTTCGTGAACAGCTTCTGCTCGTTGAGTAACTCGTGTTTGGCTCTTTCGTTGAGTAAACGAGCCGAACACACTGCTCGTTGAGTAACTCGTGTTTGGCTCTTTCGTTAAGTTAACGAGCCGAACACGCGAACAAGCCGAACACAAACAAATTTTTAAAGCTCGAATTATAAACGAGCCGAACATGAACAACTCCTTGTTCACTCGTGTTCGGCTCGTTTTAGCTCGAAATAAAAAAAAAATATTATATAACTATTTATATAACAATATTTTACATATATTATTTATATAGTAATTTATTATATATTTATGTTTAAGTTTAAAGCATAACATCTCATGTGACATTGTGGTTAATGCATTTTTTTGTATATATTTAATCCAGGTTCAAATCCCACACTTCACATCTATTTTTCTAAATTTAAGTTTAACGAGCTGATTTCAAGCCGAACACTAGCCGAACACGAACACAAATATTTTAATCGAGCCAAACACAAACACACTGTTCCCGTTTTCGACCCCGAGCTTTTTCGACCGAGCCGAACACGAGCCAAGCCTGAGCTCGCTCAAGCTCGGCTCATTTACAGCCCTATCACTGAGGGCTATTATTTACAGGAAATTAAACATAAATTCAACTAAATAAATAAATAAAAAAAACTTTCTAACATCAAAACTTCACCTTTTATACTTATAACCCCATAAATACTTCGTTGTAACTTTTCAAAAGTGAAGTGCACTTTTTCATGTATCGAGAAGTCATACATGAATCGGCTCAAACCCGCTCAAGTTCGCCTTAAATTATGAATATTTTCTTATGCATATAAAAATCTAATTAACAGAATGCTAAATAAAAGTTTATAATACACAGCTGATAAGGTGACATGTATGTAAAAAATTAAAATTTAGGTGTTAGATATATAAATCCATATGATTGAGCTGAATGATTGCAAGCCCTGAATGCTTTAGCTGGTTACAGACTTGAATTTTTGTAAGCATTGGTGGGGTAGTGACATTTGACCTGGAATATTTGAATATGGAGATACAAGAGAGGATTGTCAACACACAAAATTCTCATAGACCAACTCCATAAGAAAAATATCAAACTTCTGATGTTTAGTATTTAGTAAATAGTGAAAACAAATACAAAGAAAATAAGGTCTGCATACTAAAGATACGATTTATAAATTTGTGGAGGAAATATATGTACATTTTTATCATGATTTTGCACTCATTGCATGTGAGAATGTTATTGTACGTAAAAAAAAATATGCCAACGCTGATCTTACAAAGATTTAATGATCTAGAATTAAAAGAGTATAATAAAAGAAGACCCGTCTGCAAAAGATCAAGATGCCCATTTATCCATTCGGAGACAACAACCCAAGGAAGAACAAGCAAGGTCAACGCCGATCGAGTCAAGAAGGCGAAAGAAGGCGACCGATCCAAGTTGTTCGGTCAGAAACGAGATAAAGAGATACTCAAGTTAACCACTATAAAAAAGTCGACCGAAGGCAGCAACCTATCTTCCAATAGATACAACCCAAGGAAACTTGTTAGGTATGACTCATATACCATAAATGGGACAGATGCTGGAGCAAAGCGGAGCCCACGAGCGGAGTGGAGCGGAAGGATCTGTCCAATCGGGGGAGTTTCATTATTTGGGTTGGGAGTGCGGGGGCAACACCCTGCGGTTTGATATATGAGTAATTTAAGTAATTACTTATTGTACTATATGGTTATATATATGTCATGTTGTAACCCTAGGTGAGTCTCTGAGACCCTGAGATTTTGAATCTTGTATTCCGTACTATTTTCTGAATATTGAAAAGGAAGTCGCCGCTCTACTCTCGAGGATGTATGCATCTTTGCCGAACCTCGTAAATCTCTGTGTGTTCTTCTGTATTTGTGTCGATTCTTATTTTTCTTCGCCTTTATTTCTCAACAAGTGGTATCAGAGCAAGGTTCAATGACAGAAAAATTTCGGTTGTGCAGGAATAAAGAAGATTTTGACAGAGGAGACTGACAGCTAGCGAAGGATTTCTACAAGCTTCCCGGCAGTTCGGATCTCAGCGCAGAGAAATTTCGAAGACGAAGCAGGCTTCAACGGATTAGCGATCAGAACTCCGACTTCATGCGATCGCAGGACGGAGAACAGTTTCACGAAGCAAAAGACCAGGTGATTGGTTCTGCGAAGGCGACAAGAGGTTCGACAAGGTTCTGCAATCAATACGAAGTCGTTCGCGAAGGTTCAGAATCGTGGTTAGTTCACGTACGATTCAGGGCGAACAAGACGAACGAGGGCTGCGAGACTATCGCAGAGGTTGTTCTCTACTAGGAGAGAAGGATTTGTTACGAAGGACTCTGTTCGGCAGAGCGGGAGGCAGTCGGGCGACGGGAAGCAGAATTGGAAGGGCAGACGCGGAAAAGGAAAGTCCTCTCTACTAGGAGAGAAGGATTTGTTACGAAGGACTCTGTTCGGCGGAGCGGGAGGAAGTCGGGCGACGGGAAGCAGAATTGGAAGGGCGGAAGCGGAAAAGGAAAGTCCCCGTTTAATATGACCAAACCATCTAAGACGACTTTCCTAGGTCTACCTCTGCCTTTCTTACCTCTGTTGCTACACTCGAAAAAGGAAATTTTTTTTTCTGAGAAAGAAAGCAGAGCTTTTCTAAAAGAAAAAAAAAAGAGCTTTTCTGGAAGGAAAGTGGAAGCAGTGCTTTTTTAGAAGGAAAGCGGGGCTTCTCTAGAAGGAAAAAAAGCTTTTCTAGAAAGTTTAAGGAAAATGATTTCTGGAAAAATTTAATTAAGGAAAAGTTCTTTTTTCTGAGAAATTTAATTAAGAGATCTTAATTAAGGGATTGTTTAAAAGGATTTGTGGCCTAATTCATATTGGTGCATAAGAAACTCCATGATATATTTCTCCTAAGAGGTTGAATATTCGTCAAGGTGGAGATTTGTTAGACATATGTATTTCTCTTAAGAGGCTGGATATTCATTAAGGTGGAGATTTGTTAGGCATATGTATTGTTAGGCATATGTATTTCTCCTAAGGGGCTGGATATTCGCCAATATGAAGATTTGTTAGATATATGTATTTCTCCTCAAGGGCTGGATATTCGCCAAGGTGGAGATTTGTTGGGCATATGTGCTTCTCTTAAGGGGTTGAATATTCGCCAATGTGGAGATTTGTTGGGTATATGTATTTCTACTTAGGGGCCGAATATTCGCCAAGGTGAAGATTTGTTAGGTATGACTCATATATCATAAATGAGACAGATGCTGGAGCGGAGCCCACGAGCAAAGTTGAGCGGAAGGATCCGTCTAATCGGGGGAATTTCATTATGTGGGTTGGGGGTGCGGGGGCAACGCTCCGCAGTACGGTACAAGGATAATGCTCTAATTACATATTGTACTTAGGGTTTACTCCTAGGGTTATAAATAGGCATGTTTGTAACCCCATGAGGTATCCCTGAATTCTGTAACATTTTTTTGAATATTGAAAGGAATCATCGCTCTGCTCCCGAGTACATAGGCATATTTGCCGAACCCCGTTAAATATCTGTGTTCTTTTGGATTTGTGTCAATTACTGTTTTTTCTTCGCCCTAATTTCTCAACAAAACCAATTCCTTAATATCACCACCAGAGGCTTCTAATCAAAGATGAAAAATTGACAATGCAACAATCTTAAATTTCATCCCATAAGATCTCTTCATTGAGGAACAAACTACCTATCTGGTTATGATGATTCACCGTTTGCCCAATAGCTTATTCTTGCTCCGCTGAAAGGAGCTCTTCATCCAAAGATCAAAGATAAACAACCAGACTAAATCAACAAATCGACAAAACCTTACCATTCAAACCAGACCTGCTAACTCGAAGAAAATGAAACTCAAGTGACCAGCAACGCCGACTAAGCCTAGCTAACAGGACCAATCTTACTGAGCCAATGCCTTGCTAGCTCGGCCGACCGAGCTAGAGAGAAGCCAAGCGATAAACTCATAATGTAAAATACAGAATATCATATACAACCCCCATTAAAATAGGAGCAGAAATATAGTATCACTGTATTGTACGATTCTTTATAAATAGGGAGATGATTTTATAAGAAAATTAGGGAGATAGATAACATGCATTATTGTTGATTGGTGTTCACTGTTCTTTCTTACGCTTTATTGTTTTGGGTGTGATTCACGGACAAATTAAAATTCAACAATCACTATGACAGATTAGGAGTTTATCATTGTAGCATTCCTTTTAGATATGCATAAACACACTATAAATTCTTAAAAAAAGTGGTTACGTATAAACCTAAGAGGTGAAAAACCAAGAGGCCTTGTTTAAGTACTATAACACTAGCTTGATCTCCCCTGAGACTGAAATGGAGAACGCCAGCGTAGCATTTTAAGGCATCAAGATGCCCACAACTTCATCAAGATTCCCACAACTTCTCTCATGGAAGGACGAGATTCACTTGAAGATTGAGTGCACGACATAGCCAATTCCAACAGTTTCAGAGCACAAGCCTTCTCATTGTCCATCCAATACCAAATCTCCTCATCAAGGAAACACAAAATGTCCAACTTTTTGGCATTCTGCAGGTTTGTATCCATCCAGGTAACAATATCAACGCCATCTTCAAAGCTTGGATCCACCGACATTTTTCTGCAGAGAAGCTCTAAAAGAACAACTCCGTAGCTGAAAACATCACTCTTCTCATTCAATCTTGTTGAGTATCCATTTTCTGAGCCAAAAAAAAAAAAAACAAAAAGGTTATAAAAGGTAACACATACAAAGAATCCGTATAAATATATTATATGGAAGATTTACATACAAACCACAAAATTCCAACGTATTTACATATCTAACACCTAAACCTCAATTTTTACATATATACCAACTTTCCTATGCATGAAAAGGTGTATTTCAGTTTTTTATTAAAAATTAAAAGGAAGGCATTTTTTTAAGTGATAATGAATTGTTTGGGTGATATAAATATAAAAAGTAAAGTTTAGGTGATAAATATGCAAATACATAGGAATTGGGTGGTATGCCTGTAAATCCCATGCTCATTAAAAATTGTTCAAAGGGCATAAAAAGTTGGAAGAAGAAAACGCCAATCACCTGGAGCAATGTAGCCAAGAGTGCCCACAATTGAAGATTTTGGTGAGCTTAAGTCTGAGCAAAAACTAATACTATCCATCAATTTGGACGTTCCAAAGTCTCCGATCTTTGGCTCCATTTCGGAGTCCAACAGTATATTGCTTGATTTAAGATCTCTATGGATGACCTGAGGAACACAATCATGGTGAAGATAGGACAAACCTTGAGCTATTCCTAGAGCCATACGATGACGAACCTCCCAGTCTAGCGGAACCTGTGGCTTCTTCTTCTGGTGCAACACATCAAAGAGAGACCCACCAAGCATGTAGTCATAAACAATCATCCCAAATCCATTTCTTATACAATATCCAGCCATTCTCACAAGGTTTCTATGCCTAACTAAGTTCAAAATCTTCATCTCATTAGAGAAGCTTGGCTCCGACAAGTCCACCTTTTTAACAGCCCAACAGTGATTTCTCATACCAATCTGTGTTTTATAAACAGTCCCATACCTTCCCCTTCCAATCACATACTTTTCGCTCAATCCTTCCGTTGCTCGCATTATATCTTCATATGTGAGGATATGTGAGGTCTTCAGGCAAATCTTCAGGCAAATCCGCTACGAAATCTGTACGACGATTTGATGCCATATAAGAGCAATATCTCGATCTGAAGCAACTGGCAGCGCAAAATCCAGCTAGAAGCAAAAAGAGGCCAAGTAATACCATGAACAAAACAAAAAATTTGGTTATGTTTCCCCTATGTTTCATTGCTTTCTGGCAGTAATTCCCATCATCACTCTGTATGCACAAGACAGGGTTCCCCATAAATAACTCAGGTGATGATGCTGCAAATTTAACCCAACTGGCAGGAAGTATGCCTGATAATTTATTAAAAGACACGTTAACAAAAGAAAGAGACACCAAGTTGGTCAACTCAGAAGGTATCTGACCTGTTAGAGAATTTCCTGAAAGATCTAAAATCTCAAGCTTATCAAGCTTGTTATCAAGCTTACTGAGACTGCTGGGAATCTCACCTGTCAGCCTATTGTTGCTGAGATTCAAAGCTACAGTGATATACTGAAGATTTCCTAAAGAATAAGGAATTGATCCTTCAAGCAAGTTTTTACCAAGTTGTAACTCTAAAAGATCTTGCCTTGATGAAAACACATCAGGAATATGACCTGTAAGCCTGTTCCCAGAGAGAATCAAAAACTTCAACTTTTCCAGTCTCAAGACCTGAAGTGGAATACTTCCTGAAACAAGATTCTGGCTGATGTTGAACGTAAGAAGCTCTACGCAGTTAGCCAGTTGGGGAGGTATTGTGCCGGTCAACCTATTAGAAGACAGTTGTAGCATCCGTAAATTTGAGAGCTTAGAAAAATCAGGTATAGAACCTGAGAAATAATTGATTGAAATATCTAGCATTGTGAGATTGTGCCAAAGGGCCAGACTTTGTGGTATTTGCCCTTCAAAAAGGTTGTTACTGAGATCAAGGTAAGATATTCCTGAATTCAAACTCAAACTTTCTGGAATTATGCCTTGAAGATGATTTTTACTCAGTATCACCCTCCTAAGAGACGAACAACGTGCGATTTGAACAGGAAAGCTATCGTTGAATCGATTCTGCCCAATTACAAGAACAGTTAGATTGTTACCTGAGCAGAGTCCAGAAGGAATTGGGCCATAGAAATGATTTCCTGTCAAGTCCAGCTTGATCAAACCACTCTCAGTGCTTCTCCCAAGGTCCGAAGGCAGCTGTCCAGTGAGATTATTGTGGGCTAGTGAGAGGCATTGAAGTTTCTGCAGCTGAGTAATCTCTGAAGGAATGGTTCCCGTCAAGCGATTGTTATAAAGCTGCAAATTCCAAAGAGCTCTCAACTTCCCTATCTCAGGAGGTATTGTTCCCTCAAGCAGATTATTAAAAAGCCAGAGCTTTTTTAGGTTCTTGAGCTTGGCGAGCTCTGAGGGAATCGGACCAGCAATGAGATTGTCCTGGAGCTCAAGCTCTTCCAAAGAGCTGCAGTTGCCAATCTGCGCAGGCAGAGGACCAACGAGCTGATTATCTGCTAAACTAAAAGACTTCAGACTGCCTAACTTCCCTAATTGTGATGGAATCGTCCCAGAGAGGTGGTTCCCCCAAACATTGAGGGATTTCAGTGCACGGCAACCTCCAATCTCTCCAGGCACGCTTCCAATGAAATGATTCTTAGAAAGCATCGCTGAGGTCAAATTCCCAAGCTTCCCCAAACTCCTGGGTATTTCACCCACAAAACCATTGTCATCGAGATAAAGAAGCTCGAGCCCGGACATTTCATCAAACAAGTCAGGCACCGATCCTTCAAAACGATTAAAGGAGAGAACAAGCTCGGTTAGATCATGGCAGTTGAACAAACTCGTAGGAATCGGGCCCGAGAGAAAGTTCCAATGGAGGTAGAGCACAGAGACGGAGCAATGAGAAGGAAAATTCGGCAGTCCCCCGGTGAGATTGTTTTCATTAAGATAAAGATACCTGAGATTCGGAAGGAGAGTAAGCTCTGGCGGGATATCACCGGTGAGTAAATTCTTGTACAGATAGAGGTACTCCAGATCAATGGAAAAGGAGATTTCTTTGGGAATGGGGCCGCTGAGGAAGTTTTGGCCGAGGTGGAGGTAGCGAAGGCGAAGGGAGAGGAAGAGGGAAGAGGGAATGTTGCCGGTGAGGTGGTTAAGGGAGAGATCGAGAGAGCGGAGGGAGGGGAGAAGAACGAGGTGTTGTGCGGCGGCCGACAGAGGCGTGGAGATGCTGAGGCCAGAGAGGTTGAGGGCAACGATGTCGCCTGCGGTGGTGCACGAAACGCCGGGCAAACGGCATGGAGGGAGAGTTTCGTTCCACGGTGGAGGGAGAGAAAGTGTTCGAAGGAAGGGGAGGAGAGGGGAAGCGGAAGGGGAAGCGGAAGATGGGAGGGAGGGGGATGAAGAAAGGAGCAATGGGAAGAGGAGGAAGAAGTACAGGGAGTGCAGCATTGGTAGTGGGTTCGGCTAGGAAGAAGGCAATGGAGAATAAATAAAGGACGGCATTTACAAATATACCACCCAAATTTATGTATTTGCATGTAAAATATCTAAATTATAATTTATGTATATTAATATCACTCAACATTTTTATATCATAATTAAAAAAATACATTGTTTTAACTTTTTTAATTAAATTTTTTTTTTCAAGCATAAATAAGATTACATATATCCAAAAATAAAACTTAGATGTTGGAGATATAGATATATTAGAATTAAGTGATATTATTTATATATACTATTTAAAAGTGTGAATTAAATAAGGTAAGTAGGAAAAATTATTGCATACATACATCGCACGTAGAGATGCATGTGGTGACCGATCATGACCGTAGATCACCGTGATCTACGGTCAAGATGCAATCAAAATTTTTTTGAAAAAAAAAATTTAAAGTGGGGCCCACTGAAATATATCCTGACCGTAGATCACCGTGATCTACGGTCAGGATCAGACACCGCATGCATCTCGACATGCGGTGTATGTATGCAATAATTGCAATAATTTTTCAGGCAGTAGAGGTTTTTTTTTTTCTTTTCAAGGAAAGTTGAGCCCTATTCAAATACTCAATCTCATTGTCGAAAATTAAACTCTTAACCATTATATTGTAGGTAATTGCGCGAAAAATTAGGGGTTAAATATATAGATACATAAAAATTGCGTGTGATGCATATAAATGCTCCATATTTAAGTGAATTACACTTCCAATTTTAAGTGCACGTCAATACATAGCAACTTAAAATATTCACATTAAGTGCTCCACAATTTTGTTATTTTTAAATTTTTTTTATATAAAAAAATTATATATTGCCTCCAAAAAAATTTAGGCCGTTAAAAGTGGGCTACTAGGCTGGTGAAAGCCTTTAGGATTTAATGATTGTTATCAAGAGCATTTGAAACACTACAAAGCCACTATAGACACACGCAGAGATGCTTGTGTAGATCGAATCTGTATAAAATTGATATCTGACCCAACCCCTGGCCCCAGCTCCAAGCCTCCGACTCCGAGTCTCCAACGCATAGCTCAATTTTAGACAAAACACCAACCACAATGGCCAACCTCTAAGCTACAAGTAGGCGATATTGGTAGATAGAGAAGAAAAAAGCATCAGATTATATCGAGAGGGTGTCGGGAACGGACAAGATGGTAGATCGATTGTAGATAGAGGTGAGACTCGAGAGAGCGTGAGCCGTGAGTTTAGACTGCGAAAGATGGAGTTAAGAGAGAGCGTGAGGCGAGGCCGAGGAGAAATTTTAGAATTTTGTGGGAGATGAAATGGCAAGGGGAGGGCAGCCAAAACTGAACTTTTATCTGCTTCTTCGCACACCACAACCGTTCCCTCGCGCCTTCGCTGAACCTACGGCTGCAATCATATCATTTACAAGCTACTTGATAAGCTAGCGAGCCTAGCAGGTCTCCAGCTTGAACTCGAGCTCGAGCTTGAGACGAGATAAGCCTAGCTCGTGAGCCTGTAAAAGCAGCAATCGATCACCCAAAATCATCCAACTGGTTATCCATTACAGGGCGTATGAACAACAACTAACACACTGGATACGATCTCAGTTAAATTGGGAAAATCATCAAGACATGACTACTTGTTTGCAACAATTGGCATGTAGACTTGTGTTACATGGAAGAAGCACTCACGCGAATGGTACTTGGAAGTCGTATCCATCCCAGGGTACCTGGCAAATGTCTAACTAACAACACTAGTATTACTCGTCCATGTCTTCTCTGCAATTGTCCATGTAATTTACAATGCGTCCTATTCACAGTTCTCATGTATTTATATATCTAACACCTAAACTCCCATATTTACATTTACATGCATATCACTCAAATCTTTAACATCACAACAGCAATATTTACACAGCTGATAGTATTTTTAAATTTTCATGGAATTCATTTGCATTCATTAATTTTACATTGACCCAATCAAAACGAGACAATTCTTAATTTGAGCTAGCTCATTTAGATTTGGAATACAAAGATCATTTACAAACATAACATGCAATTCCTATCTATTTACAAATCGAAAACCTAAAGATTTCGTTTTATATTCATACCACCCAAATCTTTCATAATACATTAAAAATATTATTATTTTAACTTTTAAAAACATAAAATACAACTTTTCATGCATAGTTAAGGCAACATATGTGTAAAAATTAAAGTTTAGGTGTTAGATATATAAATACATAAGAATTGAGCTGAATGAATGTAGACCTTGAATTAAATATAAGATTAAATATAGCTGGTTACAGACTTGAATTTTTGTAAGCTTTGGTGGGGGTAGTGACAGTTGATCTGGAATATTTGAATATGGAGCTACATGAGAAGATAGTCAACACACAAAATTCTCATAGACCAACTCCATGAAAAAATATCAAAACTTCTGATGTTTAGTATTTAGTAAATAGTGAAAACAAATACAAAGATAGGAATTATAATTTGTGGAGGAAACCCCTTAAACATTTGTTATCATGATTTTGCACTTATTGCATGTTGAAAGTTTTATTGTACATAAAAACAACATGCCAACACTGATCTTAAGAAGATTCAATGATCCAGAATTAAGAGAGTATAATAAAAGAAGACCCAACGACAGAAGATTAAGAGGGCCACCTATCGGATGCATCAGCCCAAGCTAGAACAAGCAAGGTTAACGCCGACCGAGTCACGAAGACTACCGATCCAAGTTGTTCGGTCAAACATGAGATAAAAGATACTCAAGTCAACTACTACATGAAAGTCGACCAAAGGTAGTAACCTACCTTCCGGTAGATCCGACCCAAGAAAATATTCAATTCCTTAATATCACCACCAGGGGCTTCTCATTAAAGATAAAAAAAACTGACAATACAACATGTTGTGAAATTTAAGGCGAAGAAAACACAGGAATCAACACAAAACAAGAAGAACACAAATATTTAATGATGTTCGGCAAAGATGCCTACATCATCGGGAGCAGAGCGACGAATTTCACTATTTTAGAGAGGAGTTGCATACCCATAGGGTTACACATCTATTTATAGATAAAACCCACAGATAAATTTACAAACACACCCTCGCTCCCCCCAACCCACTAATCCAAAAGAGACACACATTTTCACACCAAGAAACACACATCTTAATTCCACTCCAAATCCAAGACTTCAAATTCCTGGTATATGAGCCATACCTAAAAATCCTCCACCTTGGCGAATATCCAGTCCCTTACGAGAAAATTTCCACCTTGCGAATATCCAACCCCTTAGGAGAAAAAATCATGGAGTTTCTTACACCAAAGTGGGTTGGGCAACCATAAGTGGGTTGGGCAAAGTGGGTTGGGCAACCATACCAACTAGCAACTGCAAACATTCAACAAGTTCAAGTAACACAGAAACTTATTGAAAATACCTGGCTTGTTTAAAATACCTGCTGCAATTTTATCATATGATCCGACAGAGTGAACTCAACCTACAACTGTACTCAACAGTTTATAGATATTGCTATCAGGTTTCATAGCTCATAATGTTTTAAAAATTCCTTGTTGTGCCAGCAATTCGAAGTTCCCGGTTTCATCGAACTTCATCATCTCAAATTTTGCACCAGAGATTGTCATTTGAAATTAATCCTGCAGTGAAATTTTTCTGTCTTGTATTGAAAAAAAACACACCACAAACAAATTCAAATAAACCTGAAATTTCCTCTGCCAATTGCAGCAATTTTCCTGCAATTTCCTGTGATTCGTGAATCAAATCTTTCACACGAAGTACCTTTCCTGTTCGCACAAAAATTCAGCTGAAATACTGCGGACACCAGCCAAACTCCATCTGTCACATGCGCCAACCCTGTGAACAATCCGTGAAATTCACGAACTCTGTCTGTCGCAATTTCTCCTGCGACAAACTTGCGAACTCCGCTGGCGAACACCACCTGCCGTAACTGCACCTGTCGCAACTCCTCCTGCGACAAACTTGCTACCTGCTGCAATTTTATCATATGATCCGACAGAGTGAACTCAACCTACAACTGTACTCCTCAACAGTTTATAGATATTACCATCAGGTTTCATAGCTCATAATATTTTTGAAAATTTCTTGTTGTGCCAGCAATTCGAAGTTCCCGGTTTCATCGAACTTCATCATCTCAAATTTTGCACCAGAGATTGTCATTTGAAATTAATCCTGCAGTGAAATTTTTCTGTCTTGTATTGAAACAAAACACACCACAAACAAATTCAAATAAACCTGAAATTTCCTCTGTCAATTGCAGCAATTTTCCCGCAGTTTCCTGTGATTCGTGAATTAAATCTTTCACACGAATTACCTTTCCTGTTTGCACAAAAATTCGGCTGAAATACTGCGGACACCAGCCAAACTCCACCTGTCACAATTTCTGCGACAAACCTGTGAACATTCCGTGAAATTCACGATCTCTGTCTGTCGCAATTTCTCCTGCGACAAACTTGCGAACTCCGCTGGCGAACACTACCTGTCACAACTGCACTTGTCGCAACTCTACCTACAAAAAACAAGCACCTGCCGCAACTCTACATGTGACAAACTTTCACACGAAACAACTTTCCTGTTCGAACAAAAATTCGGCTGAAATACTGCGAACACCAGTCAAACTCCACATGTCACAATTTCTCCTGCGACAAACCTGCGAACAATCAGCGAAATTCATGAACTCCGTCTGTCGCAATTTCTCCTGCGACAAACTTGTGAACTCCGTTGGCTACCACCACCTGTCGCAACTCCTCCTGCGACAAACTTGCGAACTCCGCTGACCGAGCACAACCTGTCGCAACTGCACCTGCCGCAACTCTACCTGCGACAAACATGCACCTACCGCAACTCTACCTGCGACAAACTTACAAACTCCGCTGGCGGAGCACCACCTGTCGTAACTGCACCTGCCGCAACTCTACCTGCGACAAACTTGGGAACACCGCCGGCCGAGCACCACCTGTCGCAATTACCCCTGCCGCAACTCTATCTGCGACAAACTTGCAAACACCACTGGTCGAGCACTACCCGTCGCAACTGCACCTGCCCTGCCGCAACTCCTGCGACAAACTTGCGAACTCCGCTGATCGAGCACCACCTATCGCAACTCTACATGCGACAAACTTACAAACTCCGCTGGCAAAACCTCACATGTTGCAATTGCATCTGCTGCAACTTTACATGCAACAAACTTGCGAACTCCGCTGGCCGAGCAGCACCTGTCGCAACTGCACCTGCCGCAACTCCTCCTGCGACAAACTTGCAAACTCGGCTGGTCGAGCACCACCTGTCGCAACTCTACATGCGACAAACTTGCGAACTCCGCTGGCAGAACACCACCGAACTCCTTTGTTCGCAAATGCTCCTGTTCACGGTAACTTGCTCACGAACTCTTGTTCGCGAACTCCACCTCGCCAAACACCGCGAAGGTTCGTGAACTGTCGCTCCTCGAGCCGCGATGCCACCTTTAGCGCGAACTCCCCGAAGCAGAACTCGCCGAACTGCCGCAGCCTTTTATTCGAACTGCTTCGCACCTGTTCGTTCCCGCGAGCCTGCCTCCCTTGCGAACAATCCGCAGAATTTGGGTACTTCTCATGTTCACCACAGAACTCCTCTCCCCTGTGAAATTGCCTCCGCTCCTTCTCACTGCGGTGCTTCCAGGATCTTTCCTTCAGCCTCCAGCACAGGTTTCTGACATTCCAACCAAGGGAAAATCCAAAGGGAATACTCTTCTAGTAGGAATCAAAGATTCTTTTTTTCCTTCCCTTCAAAAAATTCCAACAAAAGACGAACTGCCGAAACTGCTGAACAAGGCTTCGCAAACTCGCGATCTGGCCCGATCTTCTTCCCGCGAACGAGATCTCCTCCGCCAATCGCGAACTGCTTTGCAGAGCCTCCTCCTTCGCGAATCTCCTCTGGCCTCAAACTGCTTCTCACCAAAGCCTCTTGCACCAAATCGTCGTAGAACTTCGCCGGATGCCGCCACAAAATCAGTGAATCCTCCTTCGCTGAAAACTTTCGCAATTCATGAAATGAAAACACGGAAGCCCTTTCCTGCAACGATTCACCCCTTCCTCTGTGAAGCTGGCGCTCTTCTCCTCCGAACCTCGGAATTGCGGAATTCCTCTCCTGCGAAACCCCTCATCGCACCGAAGTGAACCGTCCAATGGTGCGCTTCGCGAACGATCTACTCTGATCCGCTAGCTAACGCCCTGGGAACTGCCGCAAACTGCCGAGACTTCTCCTTCCAAATCCCCAAATGGTTTTCCTGTGTCGATCTCCTCCGCCCTAGAATCTCAACCTCTCTCTGATACCAATTGTTATGAAATTTAGGGCGAAGAAAATACATGAATCGACACAAAACCAGAAGAACACAGAGACTTAACGAGGTTCGGCAAATATGCCTACATCCTCGGGAGCAGAGCGGCGAATTTCACTATTTTAGAGGGGAGTTACATACCCATAAGATTACAAATCTATTTATAGATAAAACCCACAGATAAATTTACAAACACGCACTCTCCCCCCAACCAACTAATCCAAGAGACACACCTCTTCACACTAAGAGACACACCTCTTAATTTCAGGAGACGCACCTCTCCAAATCCAAGAGACTCTAAATTTCTGGTATATGAGTCATACCTAACACAACAGAGTCTAAAAGTCATCCCATGGGATCTCTTCATTGAGAAACAAACTACCAATCGAGTTAAGATGATTCACCATCTGCCCAATAGTCTATTCTCGCTCAATCGACAGGAGCTCCTCATCCAGGGATTGAGGATAAACAACCATATTAAATCAAGTAATCGACAAAGCCTCACCAATCAGATCAGTCCTTCCAACTCAGAGAAAATCAAACTCAACTGACCAACAATGCCGACTAAGCCTTGCTAACAGGACCGTTCTAACTGAGCCGAAGTCTTCCTAGCTCAGCTGATCAAGGCACAGAGCAGTCGAGCGATAGACTCACATATATAAAATACCTAAAAAATCTTATACAACCCCCATTAAAGCAGGGTTAGAAATGTAATATCACTATATTGTACCCTCCCCCATAAATAGAGAGATAATTTTATGAGAAAACTAGGGAGATAGACAAGATGCATTATTATTCATTGTTGTTCACACCTCTCTCTTCTTTCTTACGCTTTATTACTTGCAATGTAAATTCATGAATAAATTAAAATTCAACATTTACTATGACAGATTAGGAGTTCATCATTTTAGCATTCCATTTACTATAACCTTGTCTAAGTTGAAATAATATACTTCATAATTTTACGAAAATCGTTTGTTTGTTTGTTTTTTTTTTTACCTCTGTTAGATATGACTAATATATCAGATAAGGGACATATGCTGAAGCAGAACTGAGCGAGCCAGCGGAGCCAGCGAGCATAGCGGACCTCGCGAGCAGAGTGGAAGTGAACCAAACTTAGCGAGAAAAAATAGTTACTAATTAATTGGATGAAAGGATTAAGGCAAACTGACCTCTACAAGCAAGCTAGCATTTTAACTTCATCAAGATTCCCACAACTTCTCTCATGGAAGGACGAGATTCACTTGAAGATTGAGCGCACCACATAGCCAATTCCAACAGTTTCAGAGCATTAGCCTTCTCATTGTCCATCCAATACCAAATCTCCTCATCAAGGAAATGCAAAAGGTCCAAATTTTTGGCATTCTGCAGGTTCGTATTCATCCAGGTAACAATATCAACACCATCTTCAAAGCTTGGATCCACCGACATTTTTCTGCATAGAAGCTCTAAAACAACAACTCCATAGCTGAAAACATCAATCTTCTCATTCAATCTTGTTGAGTATCCATTTTCTGAGAAAAAACAAAAAGGTTAAAAGGTAACACATATAAAGAATCTGTATAAATATATTATATGGAAGATTTACATAAATACCACTAAATTCCAACTTATTTACATGTCTAACACCTAAAACTCAATTTTTACATATATACCAACTTTCTTATGAATGAAAAGGTGGTGTATTTCACTTTTCTAAAAATTAAAAGGAAGGCATTTTTTTAAGTGATAATGAATTGTTTGGGTGATATAAATATAAAAAGTAAAGTTTAGGTGATAAATATGCAAATACATAGGAATTGGGTGGTATGCCTGTAAATCCCATGCTCATTAAAAATTGTTCAAAGGGCATAAAAAGTTGGAAGAAGAAAACGCCAATCACCTGGAGCAATGTAGCCAAGAGTGCCCACAATTGAAGATTTTGCTGAGCTTAAATCTGAACTACAACTAGCACTATCCATCAATTTTGATATTCCAAAGTCTCCAATCTTTGGCTCCATTTCCGAGTCTAACAGTATATTGCTTGATTTAAGATCTCTATGGATGACCTGAGGAACACAATCATGGTGAAGATAGGACAGAGCTTGAGCTATTCCTAGAGCTATACGATGACGAACCTCCCATTCTAGCGGAACCTGTGGCTTCATCTTCTGGTGCAGCACATCAAAGAGAGATCCACCAAATATGTACTCATAAACAATCATCCCAAATCCATCTCTTATACAATAACCAGCCATTCTCACAAGGTTTCTATGCCTCACTAAGTTCAAAATCTTCATCTCATTAGAGAAGCTTGGCTCGGACAAGTCAACCTTTTTAATAGCCCAACAGTGATTTCCCATACCAATCTGTATTTTATAAACTGTCCCATACCTTCCCCTTCCAATCACATACTTTTCGCTCAATCCTTCCGTTGCCTGAATTATATCCTCATATGTGAGGTCTTCAGGCAAAGCCGCTACGAAATTTGCACGACGATTTGATGCCATATAAGAGCAATATCTCAATCTGAAGCAATTGGCCGCGCAAAATACAGCTAGAAGCAAAAACAGGCCAAGTAATACCATGAATAAAACAAAAAAATTAGTTTTGTTTCCCCTGTGTTTCAGTGCTTTCTGGCAGTAATTCCCATCATCACTCTGTATACACAAGTCAGGGTTCCCCATAAATAACTCAGGTGATGATGCTGCAAATTTAACCCAACTGGCAGGAAGTATGCCTGATAATTTATTAAAAGACACGTTAACAAAAGAAAGAGACACCATGTTGGTCAACCCAGAAGGTATATGACCTGTTAGAGAATTTCCTGAAAGATCTAGAATCTCAAGCTTATCAAGCGTACTGAGACTGCTGGGAATCTCACCTGTCAGCTTATTATTGCTGAGATTCAAAGCTACAGTGATATACTGAAGATTTCCTAAAGAATAAGGAATTGATCCTTCAAGCAAGTTTTTACCAAGTTGTAACTCTAAAAGATCTTGGCTTGATGTAAACCCATCAGGAATATGGCCTGTCAGCCTGTTCCCAGAGAGAATCAAAAATATCAACTTTTCAAGTCTCACAAGCTGAAGTGGAATACTTCCTGAAACAAGATTCTGGCTGATGTCCAACTTAAGAAGCTGTACGCAGTTAGCCAGTTGCGGAGGTATCGTGCCGGTCAACCTATTAGAAGACAGTTGTAGCGTCCGTAAATTTGAGAGCTTAGAAAAATCAGGTATAGGCCCTGAGAAAAAATTGATTGAAATGTCTAGCATTGTGAGATTGTGCCAAAGGGCGAAACTTTGTGGTATTTGCCCTTCAAAAAGGTTGTTACTGAGATCAAGATATGATATTCCTGAATTCAAACTCAAATTTTCTGGTATTATTCCTTGAAGATGATTTTTACTCAGTATCACCCTCCTAAGAGATGAACAACGAGCGATTTGAACCGGAAAGCTATCGTTGAATCGATTCTTCCCAATTCCAAGATTAGTAAGATTGTTACCTGAGCAGAGTCCAGATGGAATTGGGCCATAGAAATCGTTTCCTGTCAAGTCCAGCTTGATAAAACCATTCTCAGTGCTTCTCCCAAGGTCTGAAGGTAGCTGTCCAGTGAGATTATTGTGGGCTAATGAGAGGTATTGAAGTTTCCGCAGATGAGTAATCTCTGAAGGAATGGTTCCCGTCAAGCAATTGTTATAAAGCTGCAAATCCCAAAGAGCACTTAACTTCCCTATCTCAGGAGGTATTGTTCCCTCAAGCAGATTATCAAAAAGCCAGAGCGCTTTTAGGTTCCGGAGCTTGGCGAGCTCTGAGGGAATCGGACCTGCAATGAAATTTTCATGAAGCTTAAGCTCCTCCAAAGAGCTGCAGTTGCCCACATGCGCAGGCACAGGACCAACGAGCTGATTTTCTGCTAAAATAAGAGAAGTCAAACTGCCTAACTTCCCTAACTGTGATGGAATCGTCCCAGAGAGTTGGTTCCCCCAAACAATGAGGGATTCCAGTGCACGGCAACCTCCAATCTCTTCAGGCACGCTTCCATTGAAATGATTCATAGCAAGCAACGCTGAAGTCAAATTCGCAAGCTTCCCCAAACTCCTGGGTATTTCACCCACAAAACCATTGTCAACGAGAAAAAGATGCTCGAGCGCCGGCATTTCATCAAACAAGTCAGGCACCGATCCTCCAAGACGATTAAAGGAGAGAGCAAGGTCGGTCAGATTATGGCAATTGAACAAACTCGTAGGAATTGGCCCTGAGAGAATGTTCGAATAGAGGTAGAGCACAGAGACGGAGCAATGAGAAGGGAAATTCGGAAGTCGCCCGGTGAGATTGTTTTCATTAAGATAAATATACCTGAGATTCGGAAGGAGAGCAAGCTCCGGCGGGATATCGCCGGTGAGAAAATTCCCGTACAGAGAGAGGTACTCCAGATCAACGGAAAAGGAGATTTCTTTGGGAATGGTGCCGTTGAGGAAGTTTTTGCCGAGGTCGAGGTGGCGAAGGTGAAGGGAGAGGAAGAGAGAAGAGGGAATGGGGCCTTCAAGGAAGTTTAGGCCGAGGTCGAGGTAGCGAAGGCGAAGGGAGAGGAAGAGGGAAGAGGGAATGGTGCCGGTGAAGTGGTTGAGGTAGAGATCGAGAGAGCGGAGGGAGGGGAGAAGGACAAGGTAATGTGCGGCAGCGGCAAGGGGTGTGGAGATGCTGAGGCCGGAGAGGTTGAGGGCAACGATGTCGCCTGCGGTGTTGCAGGAAACGCCGGGCAAGCGGCAGGGAGGGAGCGTTTCGTTCCACGGTGGGGGGAGAGAAAGTGTTTGAAGGAAGGAGAGGAGAGGGCAAGGGGAAGGGGAAGGGGAAGGGGAAGGGGAAGCCGGGAATGAGGGAGATGAAGAAAGGAGCAACGGGAGGAGGAAGAAGTAAAGGGAGTGGAGCATTGGTTGTGGGTTGGGCCAAGACGAAGGCAACGAAGAATAAATAAATGGGGGCATTTACACATATACCACCCTAATTTTTGTATTTGCAAACGTAATATCTAAATTTTAATTTTTTTATATTAATAACACTCAAAATTTTTATATCATATTAAAAAAAATAATATTTTAACTATTTTTAATTTAAAAAAATATTTTTTTCAAGCATAAATAAGATTACATATATCCAAAAATTAAAGCTTAGATTTTGGAGATATGAATATATTTCTTCAAATAAACGTTGCTTATTTAAAAAGTTATTTTGAGCATTTAAAAAATCAAATAATTAATATTATAAAAAATAATATGTTGTTAATGATGAAACATGAAAGCAACCTTAAAATGTAAAAATGATGCCAAAGAGACCATGTCTTTGGGATGATGACAATGATCATGATGCATTGCTTAACATTTCTTACTTTGGGACAAATATTTTTTTCTTAAGAAAAATTATCATTTATCCATAAGAATTTATAATTTTTGGTAACTTAATCTGACTTTGTATAAGAGAAGTAGTTTATTTTATTTCTTCAAATGTTTTTAAATCAATAACAAGGTTTTTTTTTTGTTAATTAAGCAAAAAAAATGGAAAAATAAATAAAAGTCATTTTTATACAATAATAGTTTATGTCATCATGTAATAAATATTAATTTTTTTATCGGTAAATTACATTCAATCCACACAATTCTTATGTATTTACATTATTGCATATCTAACACCTGAACTTTTGCAACGGTAGAGTAATGAATTATCTTCTTAGCGTTGCACGAGAATTCAACACACACTCAGATAAAAGAAAATAACCAGTAATGACACTAGAAGTTTTTTAAGTGGAAAACTCGTAAATAAAAAAAAAGTCACAGGGTTTGACACAGTTGTAAAAATTCACTATATGTTGACGATTACAGAGACCCCTTGTCATGCAGATGGGAAAAAGTTATTGGATTTTCTAAATTACAACAATGACTAACGACGTTAGGTCATTGGTGGTTGACGAAGCTCGGTGGTGGTTCAAGGCGACAGTAGTGCTTGACGACGGTTGGCGACAGTTAACGATGGTTGACGGCGATCGACAATGACAGTGATGGTGCTGGACTTTAGCTTTTCTCAAGGCTTTGAGTTTTTTTCTCAATCCTCAAGCCTCCACCCCTCCCCCCGTCTTCGTCATGAGAGAGATGGGGTATATTTATAGCGTTCTTGGTGCAATTAATGCAAGAATATGAATCATTTTGTTCGAAAGAACCGAAGAACTTCCTTCGATCACACACCTTTTGATGGACATTTTAGTACCATAACAATGTCAAAATTAAGCAATCTTGGGCTTGTTAGAGCTTGTTGAAACGCTCGATTCGACTAATGACTCAGATTGTATTAATTTTGATATCATTGAGTATGTCTCATCGAGCCGATCAGTTCGACTATAATTTTACGGAAATCGAAGCTCTGGATGACTCTTAATTGAAGTTTGAATGTTTTTTTGCTCAAAAGATTAAATCAAGATTCGTACTACGTGATGTAAATTCATTGGTGGCGTATCATTTAAATACACTATTTCAAAGTGTGAATTCAATAAGTAAAGATTCAATTTTGTTATTTTTAAATTTTTTTCAATACGGTGAAAGCACAAAATAAAAATTAATGAATTTTGATATAAAAAAACCAATCAATTCCAGGCCAAAAATTTTAGGCCGTTAAAAGTGGCTTATTAGGCTGATCAAAGCCATTAGGATTTAATGATTTCATGTTTAGGGGCATTTACAGTTATACAAACCACACAATTAATAACACCAATCACGGGAGTCTTTCTTAATCACGAATCAATCACAATATCTTTACTAATATAACTAAATTATAACAATATATATATATAT